AGAATCATATAAGTACATCAGGTTTCATAGAGCCAAACATTTCAAGTGCTACTCAACTGCTTTAGATAAGCCAGTCCTTTATTAGTATATAAGTGCTTTGTTAATAAATCTATCGCTCAAAGTGGAGTCGAAAGAGATGAGTTTTCAGTCTGCGCTGGAAGATGTGCAAGCTTTCTGCTGTCCTGATGTCAATGGGGAGCTCATTCCACCATTTTGGAGCCAGGATAGCAAACCCACGTGTTTTTGCTGATGGGAACTTGGGTCCCCCTCGCAGTCAGGGTGCAGCGAGCTGTTTGGCTGATGCAGAGCAGTGCCCGTGCTGGGGTGTACGGTTTAACCATGTCCTGGATGTAGGAAGGGCCAGATCCATTCGCAGCATGGTACGCTAGTACCAGTGTCTTGAAGTGGATTCTAGCAGTCACCGAAAGCCAGTGGAGGGAGCGGAGGAGTGGTGTGGTGTGGGAAAATGTTGGAATAGTCTGCAATTGAAATGGAAACTGAGCAATCTGGTGCCACTAAATGTTTTTAAAGCTCGGTTGGATGCTACTCAATCGGAAGCTGTTGGTACCTGCTCATGTGGATAGTTATGTAAATTGTAATCCCTGTAATGATGCTGTAAAATGTCCTTTTTGTTGTTCTGTTTATGTTTTTATGTTTCATGTGGAACCTACTTGAGCAGGTCTCCCTTGAAAAAGAGATCAATGATCTCAATGGGATACACCTGGATAAATAAAGGTTTTAAATGAAATGAACATTCAACTCCCCTTAAACAAGGAACAATTAAATGCATATACCCATAACCCCCTCTGTTGAGGTGAACTGTGACTCACCTGTCTGGACGACACGGTGCTGCTGCTCCGAGAGTGGGAGGGCTTCCATTTCGGGGAAGACTTCTCCAGGCCGCTCGCGAGGGACTGGCTGCGGTTCAGTGAAGATCCGTAAGATTCCATTTCAGACTTTAGACTCCCCTCCCTGATAGCGGAGAGATCATATTTTTAATGATATCATTAAAAACAAATAGAAAGACACATCAAAGAAGCTTTGGAGGATGCTTTTCTTAAATGGCAGGAGAAATGCAAAGACATCTGAGGTAGAGCAGCAAATAACGTTCTTTTTCATATTTCTGATTTGTTTTTTTTCTGATTGAGCAAAAATGGTCGTCGCAAGTTTGGCCTTGTGGTGACATTCAATTTATTACCAATGTTATACAACAGAGGAAAGCTGAAAATCATCACAATTGAGAAGTTGGATTGTTTTCCTAATAAAAAAACGTTTGATAATTATTCCTCTTTGGTTGTTGAAAAGCAAATGATTGCCAACGAGATGGCTCTACAAGCAGGGAACCGAAGTGAAAGTGTTAAACAGCTCAACAGAACAGCAGGTGAGATGGAACTCTGGGTAATCCAGTTACCACTACCTGGATACACTTTGTACATCCTCATCCAGATCACTCTGGATCTAAAGTCCCCACACTGAGCTCTACCCCGAAAACTATATTCATGCCGAAACCAGACAATTGATACAGTACATTTTCTATATAAATATGGCTGAAATGAAGTTTGTTGGCAGATAATCATGCAAGTTAACATGATGGAACTAGCTTCAGCCGCCACCATTTTCCTTTTTTATTGCGTTAGAAGTAAAAATAGGAACAATTTAATATGATAATGTCGAGTCATTCATATGGTAACTGTCATGGAATAGTCTCTTAATTTTGAGTTTTTCAACATGCTTGGGGGGTTAAAAAAAGACAAACACCCTAGAATGCTCTTATAAATCCTTGCATTGAAGCTTATAATGATCATTTTTGAGTAACGCTGTAATGCAAAATATTGTTATACCAGTTATTTTAGGATTAGGGTTAGTAGGCAAAAGAGAATGTATCCAACATTGTTTAAAGAATAAAAAGAAGAAGAATATTTTATGTTTGTGTCACAGTATTGATTGGTTTGGTCATTTGGGCTCTTGTTTATGTAACAAGACTGAATGAACGTTATTGGACAGGATACTGTACAACAACACCACCGCCTACACCGTCTGCAAGGACAGGATTACTAACGTTTGCTTAATTGGTTTTTCAGGGTTTGTTTTTAGCTTCTCAGACATGAAGGGTCAGGGAGCACTGATACAAGAACTGGCATACGTGCTGAACAATAATAACGTTATGCACTTTTTAAAAGCAAACCTTGAGGCTTGAGGTGATCACAATTGGTTTGCAATGAGGAAAATTGGGACATTTTATTTTAGATTATACGGGCCAGTGTATGCAATATTGTGGTTATTATTTATTATGCAAACCTTATTTTATTCACTCAAGTTTGGAATTTTGTATTCTGTCATTTGTATTTTATATACATTTAAACACAGATATTTTCAGTTTTTGTAACATCACTACTGAAGACACAATATAGGCCATCTTAATTGATCAAAATGAATGAAGCCTTACAACAGAGCTGATTTCCCTATGAGTCTGGGCAGGAGCAGACCGGCTTGCTGTTATGTAAGGCAGGAGAGGATGGGAGTAGCTGACCTCAGAGATAACAGCATGTGGTGGAAACAGGATGAAAGGATTTACACGATTCTGAGCTCGCTTAGTCAGGAAGGAACACAAAGAATATTGTACGTAAAATTTGGTTTGGATATCACTGGATGGCGATGAAGTTACTTTACAGTTGCCACAAGACATTTACTTAGCGTACAAAGTATTATTATTTAACTTTTCTTAAACGGAACTCACCTTTGCAAACTTAACAATTTTCAAACTTCAGTTTGAAATCTAGAAGTATATTGTTTAAAGTACACGTTTCACAGTTGCATCATGCACAGGTCATGCACTTTAATAAAATGTTAAATCATTTGAAGTAACTTTTAAAATGCAATAAAGTATTTCAAGGGCTGCTCAAAGACTCTTATTGTCAGAATGCCACAATTCCTCTTATTTGAACCAGAATAGAGCAGACCAAGAGCTCCCAAACGGGAGGCAACAAAAGGAAAGTCAGCTGAGGTGAAGGGTGCATTTGGGCAACAGCCACCAAACTGCATGGTGCCAGAGAATGGGGTAGGTGCAGAGATTATGACAGTGATATAATCTTGCTTCTTTGAAAAAAATGCAGCCAATTAAAGATTAGGGACGTATAATTATGAATGGGTGTAGACATTACCTCCTCAAATTGCAAAGGATTCCGTTTATAATCTAGAATATGAGACATTTACATCACCTGGAGGGAGGAATATTGTGTGCCGTCAGCTGTAAATGTGTGTGATTGTTAGAGACGTTGCCTGTTACACACACTCTGCAATGTTTTGACAGACAATGAATTTATAAAGCTCAATAAGAAAGCCGGTACACTCGTATACTTTAGTGAAAATGGTTCCTTATTAGCAGCCAGTTCCATTTACTCAGTGGCCCGAATGTAACAAATTGGCTCCCACACTCACTTGAATTGCAAAAGTCACAAATAATTATTTCTTGAAATTAGGCCTCATGCTGGAGCTTTTGTCCAGCTTTTGTTTTACCTTTGGTTATCATACGCACCTGTCTCATGAGACATGACCTATATGCGGGAATGTTTCCCACATCCTTAATGCCACTCAAGTCCTTCAGGGCCCATGTGAACTAGTCAGGGTCTTATCTAAAGCCCATTAAGATGTCCCTGAGCCAGCAGAGAAAAGGAAGACTATAGTAACCAAACAAATGTTGTATATTAACAATAGTAACAGGAGCCAGGGTGCATACACGACAGAGATAACTGCATATCAACATTTAAGATATATGAACAATTCTGATGGTTTGGTTGGGTTATTCCCCTCAGAATTCAAACTTAACTTTGTGTTTTTAAAGCCATGAAATGAGTCTTACCTGAAATTAACCCCCTTCTCTCATCATCTGTTGCAGTCCTCTGCGCCTGATAAATCCAAACAGTGTCTCATTAGGCGTTAAAGAAGCTGCGAGGAATCACAATTTCGAATAAGAAGAAGACAGAGTTGTTTTCCTTCGAAAATCATTCAAAAAGTCAAACTACATGTTACTTCCACAGATTAGCACCAACTCTGATCACATAATCTCCCCGGAAGTGCCTCTCAGCTGGTGGGTGACTCCCCCCAATCCAGAGATGTGCCTCTACAACAAAGGAGGAGCGTGCCGTGCGCAATGTGTCCTGGGAATTATCCGCATTAGCTGGATTACACCGCGTCTAGCAGGGCTGTAGTGGAGGGTAAATCCAGCCACTCTACTCACCTAGTGTATTCTGTTCTAAAGCAAAGGGGGGATCTTAAATAAGATCTTAACATACGACAAATGTGGTATTTAAGGGGGAACAGGCTTACATCCATTTTTGGTGTAAATTATTTATGTGTCGATCATTCTATGCAGATTAAATATATGTTGTATTATTCATCACCTTAATAGTTTGCAGGTGACTGCAGCTTGTATCTTTTGTGATAATCAAATTAAAGAACATCTGCAAATCGATGATTTCAAAAATTTAGACAGCATGTACTAAATAGAAAAATTCAAACAAAATTCAATGCTTTAAAAAACCTTTGAGCTCCTGTAATTATAATTGATTTGATTTGATTCCCACTCTAATAGATAGTGAATCTGGCCAAAACTTTTTTTACTTTATTTGTTGTTATGTGTGTTGTGTATAAATCATGTACATTTATGTACAAACATTTTGTTTATAAAAGTATACGGTTTGATGTTCCCTCTGATATGATATGGAGTGATTGGCCTGAATAGTGTTCGTCTGCCTTGTAAAGGCGGCCATTATAGACTAACTGACCCAGATTAACATGCCCTAATCTGCAGATTAACTTTAGTCAGGATCTGTGACCACTTGTGTTTATTTTGGCTGGAGTGGCATTTGTGGTTCCACTTTACAAAACTTCTGTCACTGAATCTAATTTTGAGATGAATAAAAACTCTTGTTTTTATGCATTTTTTATTAATCCTGCAATTCTTAAATCCAAATTAAAAAAAAAAGAGACTAAGCAATACATTATGTTTACATCGTTTATTTATGTGTGACAATATCCTTGAACTAAGGAATTGCATTTTTCAGCTCTGTCCGTCCAAGACTTCCTCTGATAGGTTGAGAAGCACGGAAAGCAGCTTTTTCACAGCAGCCACAGTGCTCCTATTGGTGGATGCACATTGTTTGAATTAGTTGAATTTAACACCATGCTCTGAGATTGAGTAAACCAACAACTTGTTCTTTGTGGAGTAATCTTAAAAATCTGCCTTGTTCTTTGGTGCTTAATTACAATAAATTGCAAAATATGCATCCAAGCCGACGTTCCCTTGTAATTTCAAGCAGTTGGAAATCTGCAACATTCCCATTGTTTCCTCTCCAGCTCTACGTGGCCTCCTGGGCTTTAGGGGCTCCCTCGGAGCTCTGCTGTTTGACGTGCTGCTGCAGGAGAGCAGAGAGCTGGGCCGGGTGGTGCTGCAGCATGGCGGCTGTCTGGGAGGTCAGCAGGGTCAGCCCACTGACCAGCTCCCCGTGGACCACAGCCACCGAGGGCAGCTTGGAGTAGCTCACGACCCCCTGTGCACTCAGCAGCGTGTTGTCTATACAGGCTCCTGTTGACAGATGAGCAAGGCAGAGGTGGATAAGAAGCAGTTAAATGATCACTATCTGTTTAATATGGTTTTCAGGGGAGGAAACGAAGAGTAAAACATGCTGCTCTGCTTTGAGATCAAAATGTATTTAACGCACAATATGTTATTTCCTGACACTCAATCAGAACAAAAATAACCGAGTAAATTGGGTATGTAGAGTAGCGTGTGATCATGGGAATTGTCGTCTTTATTACATTCTTGCCGTAATCTTTTCTAGTTAGGATTCTTTAACATTCAACGTTGTGATTGAAATTCCTGGAGCAAATAATCAGAACACAGAGCTCTAAACAGATGTCTGACACTGAAGATATTTTCCATCAGAGTTATAACCAGTTATGTTTCATATAGAGAAGCAGGCTCTAGAAGGCACCTGTCAGATAAGATATTATATTCTGTCTATTTATTTTCCGTTTCATTATCTGTATTCATGAGACAGAAGGAAGTCACCTCTTAACACAGCTGATGCAGAGAGCCTGAGAAAACAGGCGCCATCTTATCTCCATACACTAGGGCGCATAAACACCAAGGCCAAAAGCCTGCTGCCTGTGCCGAGAGCCCAACCTGAACTGAAGTGAGGACAGCAGTGGAGAATTAATAGAAAAAGACTAGTTAAATACGTCCATTAAAAGTAATGAAGGTTGAATTATTCAGAAAAGGTCTCCATAGTACTTTTCCCACAAAGGTTAATCAGAACTTAGTTCATGAGAACTCTTTAGTTCTCATGAACTAAGTACAGATCGCGTTCACACCGAAATAAGTCCCTGGGGGAGGATTAGGCAAATGAAGCCGCTGACGTCACTTCTTCTTCTTATGCTTTGGGTTTACTGGCAGGCCGCAAACAACTTCACAGCATATACTGCCGCCCAAAGTCCCCGGCCGGAAGTCCCCGGAGTTGGGGACTGGCTTCAGAGTAAATCGCCAGAACGCAGACACCTCCTCATCTCCACCGCTCCCATGTTTTTTGTTGTGTTGCCATAAGTTAGTCTCTCTCCGTTGGTGCGCTGGGCTAATGCTAATAATGCTAATGCCAGCAAATAAAATGGCAACTTCACAAAACTTTTCAGAGTTTTACAGGGCGTGGTTTGAAATTCGCCCAGCCAATCAGATATTTGAACTTTTTTGTCCCCAGGAAAGTACCACCTCTCTAGCAGGGACTGAAAAGGGGTGAAAAGTTCTCTGAACTAAGTACTCTTTTTGGTGTGAACGCAAAATCCCAGGAACTATCGGAACTAAAAAGGGAAAAGTACGGGGAAAAGTACTCCGGTGTGAAAGCGCCTAATAAAAAAAGTGTTCCTCAGCCACGTTCACGGGAAACGGAACTCCCGTACGGGCTGTGAACCGAGTTGTTTTACATTTTAAGCCGAATAAAGACACTGAATAAAGTGTTAAAAAGCACCGTTTCTGTTCTGCTTAGCTGTTTTGCTAACATAGGGTGTTAAATTAAGTTCCTTTTTGTGTATCATTATTTTGTTATTAAATTGTTAGGCCTTTGTGTTGTGTGGATTTTGGGCCCATCGTTTGATTAAATGAATATGTAATTCCTGGCTTGTGATCTTTGTCACTCTGCATATCAACGTTTTTCTCTGCATGCAGACACAGAAGATGAACGTACCCAGGAGTAGCATATGTCGGCTGGTCCTCAGAGACGACAGCATCTCCTTCACCTTCGGCTCTTTACTAATGAACAGAACCGTGTGACCAATGAAGAGAGGAGCCATGTTGGAGTAAGTGCTGTCTTTCAGGAACGAACGCACCACCTTAAAAAAGCAAGATTAAGGATTAGACTAAACTAGGATATTTTTAACATCTTAAATAAGGTCATCATAAACCATAAGTTCCCTGTACATTTAGGATCAATACTTTGTTTAAAATTCAACATTATGGGAGGTTTTTTTTCTGACATGATACATTTTCTTTACTTCATTTAAAAAGGGAAAAATAGTCAACGACACAACAATTTTAGCATTACCTGGTTGGGGAAAAATTTCACTGTGATGCCATGTTTATGAAGTTTGTACTTGAGAAGTATCATTTCGTCAGCAGTACTGCCGCTGTTCTGGACCACAGCGATCATCTTTGATTCCTGGAACACGCTCTTCATTTTCTTCTTAACGAGTATCGTGAAAGGGTCATCCTGGTGGAATAAAAGAGAAGAGTTTGGAAAAGTGAATTTATTTTAATAAATAAATACACACTTATTTTTCGACTATTCCCTTTATTCAATTCAACAAAAGAAATTGGATACAGACAAAGTGAAAAACAGTATGTAATAATAGAAATAAATTGTTAAGATTATTTAAATGAATTGACTATTTGAACATGGTATTAAACTATAATTGGCACATCAACACAAACACTCCAAACATTGTTTTTACCCACACTCTTTAAAAAGGTAAGATTTGTATTTGGAAATGGTGCAGAATTCCCAGAATCCCAGAGCTTAACTTCTAGGACATGTACCGACCCTTAATTGCACCCCTATGTAAGTGCAATGTTTTGGACTCAATACACTTTGCAAACTAAATTGTAAACATGACATCCAGCTCTGGAAATGCATGCACTTAATACCTCATATCTGTCAGATAGAGGATGAAAAGGGGGGACTGTTACCTCCTGGTCTCTGATGGTTTGTCGTGGATAAGCTCCAGGAGGAGCGGGTCGTGGGGGTGGAATGTACCGTGTAACTGACATCAGCTTCTGTTTGAGAAAGTGCAACGGCCTCTTGTGTCGAGTCACAGCTTTGGAGCCGTGCCGAACACACTGTGTGAAGGGAAGCCATCCTGAAAGACATGCAGTGTGTTAAACTTCTGCTAACATGAAATAAAAGCTGAGGCTGCTCTGCTAACACCAGCTAGCCTGTCTAAAACACGCTGTTTAACTGAAACGTAGCTGAACATGCTTATTATAGATAGAAAAGACAGTAGTAGCTCGTAACTGACACAAAGAAAAATGCTAGAAAGGCAGAATAAACGTTAAATTACCCTGTTTCGGTAGTAATATTCGACACAAGGTCGCCGCCATCTCTAACAGTATACGTTATTCAGGAAGTGACGTTGGCACAAATGCTGCATTCACCAATATCGGAATATAGAGAATCACAACAGTGTACAGATTATTTTGTAACTGTCATTATTGGGACATTTGTTATACATTACTGCAACACACATACATAATCCTCAATTTCACTGGATTTTGTGGTAAATCTGAACCAAAAAAACTAACTTTTACATAGAGATTGAATAACATGTTTTCCCACTGGCTTCCTCGTAATTACAGATATAACTTGAACGCAGCACCATTTAATAGTTTTTCAGATTTTGTATTTAAATCATACAACGCTTTATTTATAACCAAAGTTTACGTGTGAAAATATATTTGAAAATTATTTGGACATGCATATTACAAACAGTTGGTCCAGTTACAAAACAAGTAATCGGCTACTTTACGTAAAGGAGGATGTGTTGTTACGTCAGCGTCAGTTTGACAATCATGAGGCGCATACTCATTGCGAATTTACTATTGAGGCAGAGCAGTTTATTTCTCAGAAATCCTCGTTATCATGCCTCTCTGACAGCGGGTCATCGACGTGTCTGTGCACGGAATTTCTGCCGGAAATCATCGAGCGAGGACACAAACATGGACCTGAGTAACATGAGGAAGAAATACAAAGGAGATGAGGACGTGAGTTACCTGTCAGGGAAATACACAGTCATATAACATCATATAGTGTGTAACTGCAACTGCAAGGTTATTATAATTTAAGTTCAATGAAGGTGGAAAAACACTGCTATAAATTTGTTTTTATATCTACCCGGTTGTCTTGAGAAAAAAACTGAGACTTGTACAACCTATAAGCAAATCTAGGTATTCCAAAGATAGTGACACTGGTTGGCTCATTCATAAGGGCCTGTGCAGGGTCGGCGTCATGGGGGGTCATTCGCGGGTCATGCCCCCCCAAATGAGTCACTGTGCCCCCCAACGCAGGGTGGGCAAGCCTTGCCACTTTGCCGTTGTTTTCTTTTTTTAATCATATAAGTGAAAACGTTTCCACTAAAGGTTTTTTGTGTGAAATACATCAGAAATAAATAATACAAATATAAAACACAGCCTGAGGTGTGCTCACTGCTGCTCTCTGATTGGTGTGTTGCTTGACCAATGACCCCTGACCTTTTTGTGTTATCATTACGTGGCTGTGTGTTTAGATGAGAGCCCAGTGGCGATCTGTTCATCTGTTATACTGATTATACAGTAAAGCCATCAAAAATAATATGATATACAGTACAGTACAAGTACATGGGTCTCTGTGTTTCATTCAAGCTCTGTATGTGTGTGGCACGAGCGCATTTTGTGAGTGCGTGAGCGGTAACGTGGAATGTTGTTGTTAGCATCTGGTTAGCTAGCTATGCTAACGGTTATAAAGGGCTGTTTCTACACCAAGGTGGAGGAGAGTCCTCTCCTGTGAGACTGAGAGGATCTTATAACGTCAGCTCAGTGAGGTAAGGACTCTCTCAGTGTTTAGATAGTTCACTTTAGTGTAAGTTATCTCAGTGGGTCTCAAACGGTTTGGTCACCATTTATGTAAGTATTTTCGAGGAATACCTTTATATGATTATAGTTATTAAAGAGAGAATAAATGAAAAACGGGTATGAAATACTATAGGACAGTAACACAAGAATACAGTTTAAAAGGGGAATGATTAGTAAAATATCCATAAAGAAAAAGTAAATGTGTGTACAGTTCTGTTTCATATGGATGCTGAGAGATGTAGGCTATCCATAGATCTCTTCACTTTGCTCTCAAAGTGCACCAGATTGATGCTTTTAACTTCAATATTTTAAAAATAATCTTCCCGGGGGAGCATGCCCCCAGACCCTCCTAGAGGAGGTTAGGTCCACCCCCACCTAAGACATGTTCACATGGATAGGATACTAAATACATTTGCACACTTTTTATATGGTGGCCTATGTCCATATCAAATCAAATCAAGTTTTATTTATATAGCACATTTTTCAACGATTTTTGGTCGAGCCAAAGTGCTGTACATATAATAAAAAATAACCTACAGTAAAGACACTTTACAGCAAATACAACGGCACAGTTTATGCAGAATATCAGTATGAGAAAACGACACCCTCTGTCCTTATATGTTTCTGTTTTGGTGGTCGTGCCACAACGGTGCATGTATGCACAAGTCATAGGTGCGCTATACAATAGCACTACACCCCTGCAATGTGTGTGAAAGAAAATAGACTTTACAGCATGTTTTTTTAAATTGAAGTTGCGTTGGTGTTTGTGTGTTGGTTGTTGACGGCAGTGTGTCCCCCCTTGGTAAATGATTGCCCCCCCATTCGATTTGTTCTAGAGCCGACCCTGGGCCTGCGTGAGGTTTATGTAAGGTCAGTAGTGTCTGTTTTCAGTCATTTATCAAAGTTAAAGAGCTACTGCCAGACTACACAAATACTAATACAAGTAAAAGCTTCCAAAACCTTACTTAATAAAAGTAGGCTATCTATCTAGCAACATTCTCAGTCAGTTATGTTATTGGAATAATATGACTGCTGCATTCATGTGCATGGTGCATTTTAGTGCTGTAGATGTTGCAGGATGTATCATATTCTTTAAGATTCCCATATGTTTGTAGCTGTATTGCTGCCCTATTAGAACCACATCTTTAAATAGGACAACTTCTATAGCCCTGTTTTGACTTTTGCATATTCCAGTTGATCCAAGAGGCTTTTAAAAAAGTGTAATCTTAAGAAGCAGGAACATTATCTTCAGTCATTGAGGAACACTAAATCCTTCATTTTATCCAAAACACTCAAACCCAAAAGGATCAAGTTAATAGCAACTAAAGCTGTCGAACACATATAATGAGTAAAAATGTAGCATTTTTCCCTCTAAAATGTGGTAGAGTAGAGGTATAAAGTTGCACAAAATGGAAATCCTCTAGTTAACACTAGTTGAGTAAATATATCCACCATTGTCTGTTTCTCAGAACATTCACGTATGATTGATTATTTGTTTCCCAGTGCTTTGAGGAGAGCCAGCTTGTGTCTCTGGACCCGATCACTCAGTTTGGGAACTGGTTCGATCAAGCCACAAAGTGCCCTGAAGTCGGAGAGGCAAATGCTATGTGCATCGCCACAGCCACCAAGTGGGTAACAGAAACTCCCAAAATCAAATGTATTTTCATTTTTGTAACGTCTAATGTCAACTCTCTCCCTGCCTGTCTGTACAGAGATGGACGCCCCTCGGCTCGTATGGTCCTCCTGAAAGGTTACAGCAACGAGGGTTTCCGTTTCTTCTCCAACTACGAGAGCAGGAAGGGTTCTGAGCTGGTGAGTTACTCCACCTTGGAACCCACTGAAAAGTTTGTAGAGCTTACAATGTTCATTTCGATTCCCTTTCTCTGGGAATCAATTGTTTTTCATTTAAGAAGAAATAGACGACAATGTGTATGTGATTCAGCTCCTTTACTGGTTAGTTGTTGCAGCAGCTTGACTATTAATTATTATATTTGTAGGATGTATTGTTATTTATTGCCTTCTATGTTTTTGTCCTCAGGAAAGCAATCCCCATGCATGTCTTGTCTTTTACTGGGAACCCCTTAACCGACAGGTCAGCATCCATCAAGTGCTCATCATTTCCTGCCTTATATTACATATTTTTTATAGATTTTCCACAGTAATACATTTGAATTCTGATATGCAGATTCGCATTGAGGGCAATGTGGAGAGAATCCCCTTCCAGAGCTCCTGTGACTACTTCCACTCCCGGCCAAAGAGCAGCCAGATCGGGGCAGTTGTGAGCCGACAGAGCACTCCGGTTCCTAACAGAGATGTAAGACCCCAAACAATACCTTCATATGTACGTAAATACTTTAAAGGCTCACTTTTTACTGTCTTGTCTTGTCTTTTTAGTATTTAAGGCAGAAGAATGCAGAGCTGGAGGAGAAGTACAAAGACACAGATGTGCCTATGCCTGATTACTGGTGAGCATCAGACCACTTGTTCTTTCTATTATAACATCTTCAAATCATGAAAAGGTGAAGGAACTTTGTTACATTTTACTTGCAAGAATCCATTAGTCATAGTTAATGCCATAGTACTTTATTATTGCCGAGTGGGCCAGTTCTCTTGTCCAGTACACTTCATTTGACCATTTACCCTTTGGTAACCCATAGGACTATCGCTCAGTCTTGTGAACACATCAAAACAATGTTATCTCATCATTTCCTGATTGAAATAACTGTCCTTTGTGAACAGGGGCGGCTACATCGTCAAGCCCTCCCTGATAGAGTTCTGGCAGGGTCAGACCAACCGGTTGCACGACCGCATCGTCTTCACCCGGCCCAAAGATGGAGAGACGGAGCTGGGGGAGTTTCAGCACGCTGCCGAGGGGGGCTGGGTGTACCAGCGTCAGTCCCCGTGAGAACTACCTCAACTCATCGTTCATAATCAAATGTGTTGAACTCTATGGAAGTAAGCGCTCGTCTCTAGGTACTTCAATGTTGATTTCATAGGTGCTACTGTGTGAAGGATTCATCTACAAGCAAACTGTGTTGTGTCATCTCCTCGTTCTTTATGTCAGTTCATTTATTTGGAGGTGTGACGCTCTTGTGGTACAACTTGAATTGTCTTTATGTCATGAAAACATGCTGTATGGTTTACAGAAAAAGAGCAAAGTCAACCTGGTTGCGCTAAATAATGATTGACAGGGACATTGTCTATTCAGCCTTGTTGTCCTAACGTTGCGGATACTGTGTCCTGCATCTTAAAAAGCACAACCTGTACCATAAATGCACCCCTCAATGTTGGAATAATCTGTAATGCTTTGGTTTTTAGAGGTCTGTTCCTAATAAGTTCCAGAAGAATTATCTGTCAATCTAACAAATAAATACATTCAGTGGCCACTTTATCACTTACACTTGATCATGTAATGCTATCCAAAACCATAAAGTCTACTTTTATGATGTTTATTAAGTAAAAAAGTAATAGAGCCACCACCTATTTCTCCTATAAACAGTACAATAACTAACATGTAACGGAAAATGTACACATTTCCAATTAAAAGCATTTCAGCTCAGCTCAGATAGAAAATGTATGGCAGAGCTGCAACATGGAATTGTAACACATTGTACAAGTGTTCCTAATAAGGGGGCCTCTGATGGTATTCATTGTTTTGTTTTTTCTTTCTAAAATGTTGTAAAATGTTATGTTTGATTGTTGCTACAATTCTGAGCATGTACTGAAGCTTCTCTAGTCAAACCAAGCAACCGCCTCAAATCTTCATTATAATTAGTATTATTTACACCTTATAGAATAACAAGCATCTATATGTGTCTTTCTAGCTGACGACTTAAATTGTGCCAACTATTGTGTGTATCATGTACATGTTGCACTATTACGAGATGTATATTGGTGTTTATTGTTTACTGATGGAAGATGAGAATGTTATTTTGACTTGAATTGACTGAAAAGCCAGATTAAAGTTTAATTTGTAACTGAGGACTGAGTGCATGTGTGGCCAGCAGATGGCAGCACCAACACACAACAAAACACAATCATGTGTAGTCTCACAGTCAAACATACAATCCTGAGGCAACCTTTCAAATGGTCTTTTTATGGAAAGGTTCAATATAAATTAAGTATAACACAAATCAACCTGCAAGTTGGCCTTTAAGCAAAACCAGCTGATCAGGGGATTGTTTTCTTGAATGATCAGCGTTAGTCATCACTGACTTAATAAAAGCCATATAATCAAATGTAAGAAGAGCACACCACTGCGTATCAAATGTCAGTGTCACCATGACAACAAAACCATCCAGCACAAACAAGCTCAGGTGGATAAAAATACTGTAACCCGAAACCAAGATTAAGTTGCTTGAATCATTCATTGACAATACTCAATCAAATGATTGTCTGCACAAATACAACACACTCTTTCTATATTAACTCATCTTGTCATTTTATTAAAAACAAAACTCTTTTTTTGCTTTAGAATTTTAGAAAAACATTACATAAACAGCTTTCATTTAAAATGATTATTTATCACAATATATCAACATCAAAATCAAGTCTCCTATTTACTTTGGTCATGAAAACGTAATAAAAATGTTCTTTTGATTTTGTAAGACGTAAAAAAGGAGGTTTTAATTCCAGCAATCCTTAATAATAATAAAAATAAATGTACAATAAAGTAATTCAAAGGGATGTTTGCATGAGGTGAGGCAGACTGTAGATAAATAACAGAAAGGGAGAATATGAGGCGTAATAAAAACGTCTCCTGTGTGCTGATACCAGCTGTTTGTATTGGTGGGAGTCCATTGGTTACAGTATCTATGGGTGTGGGGCCTTGTGTTGATCCAGTTTAGCACATGTACAGTACAGTAGCACCACATGGTTGTGCTTGTGTACGTTTTATCCTTCATTTCAGCATTTATCAGTGCAACACTCATGTATCACACATTTGCAATCAGGTGTGCTTTTCATTTGTCAGTCTTCTTTTTGTGGTTCTCGTCACTGAGGCTGTGCTCGGAGAACAGGCTGGGGTTCTCTGCCAGCGTGGCTCGGACCTTCTTCTTCTCCTTGAAGCGTCCGGAGTGGGACACCTTGACGTGGCGGCCCTTGGTGGCAGACTTGTCCACGATCTTCTCCAGCCTGGCATTGAACTGGCTGTCCATGTGGTCTGTGGGGGGGGTACCGCTCGGGTGCTCTTTGTTCCCCGTGTTGCTGCCATACTCTGCTGGGATCTCGTACAGGACCTTGGATTCAGACTTCTTCTTGCGGGAGAAGGTCAGCTTCCACCAGCTTTGATCCGCCATGGCACCCGTAGAGAGGGGGAGGACTGACCTGAAGGACACAGAGCTGAGACTGAGCACATGTACTGGAGATGATTATATTTAGACCTGGCATTGAACAGTTTAGTGAGCATACTATAAGAAACACAAGGAAAGAAGCAGTTAGAGCGGGTTTCTCTACCTTATTATGTTACCTTCAATAAAAAAGATATTGCAGCAATATTATTTATTAAAGGTATCAAGTTACCACTCAGAAAAAGCCTTTAGGTGATATCCTCTGCAAAATATTTATAAGAAAGGGATTTTGTAATGCTCATTTAACACTTTACAGAGTTTAAAACTATTTAACTTTGTCCATTTTACAAAAGTGCACATCTTGGAACCATCACTAAGAAAAGCCCCATACCATGAAGGGCAAAATATCCCAAAACAAACTAAACTGACCTCAGCAAATTCTTTTTTTCAAACAACTATTTCTGGTGGTTGGTCAAACATTTCTTACAGTTTGGGATGTTGCTCGAGGAATTTGGACTTTCTCTAAGTATTTATAAAATGCAAGCTATGGTACTAATCCAAAACCATTTTTCAATCAGCCCTGTCTTCAGAGATTAGACAGCAACTATGCAAAGCTTCTTTTTAACATTAGTAGATGTAACCTGAGGGGGGAGGAAACCTGACACTCTGCTCTCGGCTGATACATTAATGATCATCTGAAGAGTATCCTCTTTCCATCTCTCTGAGATCTGATATGAAGTCAGTGTAAACAAAAAGATCACAGACTGATGAGAAGGCAAGCTGTTGTTTTAATGCTGTTGAAACTCAGCCATGTTATAAACAGCAACAGGAAGGTCGCTATTGTCAGCATCACAATAACACCTGGATTTTTCTATTTATATTACTTGATTTACAACAATTCAAAAGTATGTAGCTACACAGATCAGCTATCAGTCTCCTGGCAACCAGTGAGCTAAAATAACTTCCTCATCAAATGAATGTGGACTCTTTGGTGTTTATGATGTGCTGTATAACTTATAATAAAAACTGGCCTTCTTAGTGTCCTGACAGTGACCTTTGGTTTGGGCAGATAGATTTGTTTTCAAGTTTGGTGTTTTCAGTTTCAACGTTTATTATTTTGACATTCACTTAATCATTTATGGTTTTTTTTCAAGCAAGCATGTAAGAGGTTACTGCTTTGTATTAATCTTATGTTAGAACAAATGTAATTTATTTGGGAGTTTTGGCTTGTTGTTCAGACATTTCTTTAAGTCACCTTAGGTATTCTTCAAAATCCCAAAGTAATAAATTATTACAAACAAGACAAAATTGCAAGATCGATAACAAAATATGTACATTCCTGCCCTGGCACAAGATTCAATATAACGTAGTTAGTTTTTTGATCATCACTGCAGACCTTTTTTGTCTACATTTCATCTCTGTATATACTCCCATGTTTTTAACGGGTTTCTTTGTCCATTTTCTAACACAGGCAGAGAAAAGACCAAAACTAATTTTCTGGTTTCATATTTTTGTATTTTGTGTCTCCACTGTGACATGTTAACATGCTAGTTCCAAACCCTTTCCACCCTCTGTCTGAAAGCAGAGCCCAGTCTGCTCTGATTGGTTGGCTGGCCGGCTCTGTTATGATTGGTCAACTTTAGAGATGTCCCACTAGCCCATCACGTACATTATTTTTGGAGTGCTAGCCAAAAGAAGCTCAAGTGTACGTGATGTTACTGTCTTGTTCAAGTTAACAAAGGAGCCCAATTTTCAGTCGGTGTGTTGGAGAGAAACTCTATCTGGAGGGAACTTTGGGATTTTAGCCTTTGCAGACCATTTACATGCACAAAAACCTTTATAAACACACCACAGGAAAATAATAACTCAAAAGAGCATAATAGGCAACCTTTAATTCCAACAAGGTCTTTAAATTCGTGTTGCTCATAATTGTTGAATTCTATTTTAATGCATTTCAAACTGGGATTAACTTCAAACTTTGAACTGCAAATAAAACATAAAAAGTAACTGAATAAACACATGGCTTATAAACCAGATTTTATGAGTTGTTCTAACGCTACGATTTCTACTTTACGAGGGCGGACAGGAAGCAAAGAGGCTCACTAATCCTCCTTTGGTGTGGTCATTTGATCATGTAGCCTATGCAAATACCCAGCATGCCCTTTGCAGAAATACTCCTGTGACTCTTATCAGAGCCATGTGATGTTTGTGGCACCTGCAAGCAGTGCCAAGGTTCAAGAAAGCCAAACAATGGGTTTAATGTTGTGATAGGATTTGAATGGTAATTTAACAATTGTAATGTATGCACTATAATGGAACATTTGATTACTTTAGAGCTAATGTGCTATTATATTCACAACCTAATCGTACTTGTTGCTTATTTACACTTAGTTATAGCATATAAAAATGTCCCTTTTGTAAGTGGTTGCCTTTTTTTCTATCTAACTTTACAAAAAAGACAGGTTTCTCCATACCAAATGTTGAAAGAGCATTTGTATAGTGTTGTTGACTTTTCATTTGGCAGTTTCTACTGAACAAAGTTCCTTGGAGGACGCAGCAGTTGCACACCTTGTTAAGTAACAGATCATAGCGGCATTTGGACACATATTTCTTTTCTGCCATGTTTGACTTCGATGTGACCTTTGAGACGAAAAGCCCTGTTGACATAAAGGAGTCCTGCCATAGTTCTCTTTAATAAGTTACCATGTATTCTGTTATGTGTGGCTGAGCTTCAGAGAGCACGGCAGGAAGGGAACACTGACCACGTTCAGAAATTACTAACCAGCTGCAAAGCTTTTCAGAAGCACAGTGTTTGAACTGGAGGGAGAGAAAAGGGGAGACAATGACAAAGGGAGACAAAGAGAGGAGGAGGCTCCAAGGGCACGAGGACTGCGCTGCCCTCATAATTGAGTACGGTTTATTAGAATCTCAGGTATCCTCCCTTGTGCCAGCTACTGGTGACCCGTAACAGCAGAAGTTGAATGAGTTGATAAGGGGAATATTGTTTTTTGTCTGATGTATAACAATGCTATTTTAGGATTTGTATTATTTGTTATGTGGACATAGAAGGCACGGAAACATAAATGCTGTTTTTTCTTTGAAACATCATGTATGCTAAATATAATGTGAGATTATGTAAGGCTGCAAGGACCAAAACATTTTTAAATGTATAACTTTCTTACTTTTCTGACTTAACTTCTAGCAATCTTGAATTAAAGGTCTCATGTCATGGCCATTTCTACTGATCAGAATTCCATTGTTGAGGTCTACTAGAATAGATTCACATTGTTCAATGTTCCAAACTCACATTGGTTTCTCATACAGCGTCTCTGTATAGTATGTGTATTCACTCTGTCCTAAACGGCTTGTTGGAGCTCCTGCCCCCCTCCCCCTATGAGCCCAGTGTGCTCTGATTGGTCAGCTCGCCCACTCTGTTCTGATGAGTCCACCACCTTACAGCGGAACATCAGTGATTATGTGTTACAATGGCATTTGTTAGCAACCAGGAAATGACACCAGTAATGACAAACAGATGAGAATGCTGCGTGGGCTCTGGGTGCCGTGTTGGCGGGACGTTGCGTGGCTCGCTGCTCCGCCCTTTGAGGCTCGAGGAGCAGACAGTGTGAGCTGTATTACTGGTGTTGTTTCCTGGTTGCTGCGTGGGGTCTGCGAGACACCGCGGACCTCAGCCTGAGCACACACACACACACACACACACACACACACACACACACACACACACACACACACACACACACACACACACACACACACACACACACACACACACACACACACACACACACACACACACACACACACACACACACACACACACACACACACACACACACACACACACACACACACACACACACACACACACACACACACACACACACACACACACACACACACACACACACACACCACACACACACACACACACACACACACACACACACACACACACACACACACACACACACACACACACACACACACACACACACACACACACACACACAGGTGTGAGGAAATTCGCGGAGCTGCGGCTGAGAAAAGATAAGGCTGAGTGAGTGGGTGTTTCTCAATGTCGAGGACGCTTCCTTGGTAGGACAAGTCCCTCCGAGTCAGGTCCTTCAGAAGCGATGCAAGAATCCTTCCAAGGTTGCGGTCGGATAATCCAAAAATCAGCTCCTAACGTCTAACCCTATCGTCTATTCCTTGACCTCTGAGTGAAACGTCACGGGGTTAAGGGATAGTGGATAGGAGAATTCAAAAGGATTTAGGAGAAGAGACTGCGGTACTTTAGGATAATCCGAATGCACTTTCACTATCCGACGTGTTTATGATGTGCCAGCGGACGTCATGAATGTGCGTCTGCTGCTGTGGGGAAACTATGGAAACTACAGTTTTCTATACAGCGGACTACAACATGGATGTTTAATAAGAAGGAGGGACTACTGTAAACTCATCTAGAGACTCTGCACCGTGCTCTGATGCTGTTGCTTTATGCTTTATGAACGTGGACAACAGAGAAACATATTCTTCATGACCAAAGTTGGAATTGAAATAAAAAAGGAAAGTGAAACTTATGCTCATCACCAGAGTTGGGTCTAACGCGTTACTGTAATAACATTACTTTTGTCGGTAACGGAGTAGTGTAACGCGCTACTTTTATAATTCAGTAAGCACACTACAGTTAGGCTACTAACATTGTCCCGACACGCGTTACTTCGTTACTTACTAAAATCAGCCATAATCACACTGACAGACAAGAGGGGTTTCCGCCGCAGGATTATATGTAGGCCTACGTAATCTGCGCGTCCACATCTCCACGTGCAGTGCTGCATAAACATGGCAGAGTCAGCGATAACTTTCGAGGGGTGGAGGTAGTGATGGCAGTTTGACACTGAAGCTTCGAACGGAGCTTCAACCCTGGACTTCCTATTCCATAGAAGCAGTGCTTCGAAGCTTGCTTCAAATCACGTGACATGTGACGTCCGAAGCAGCAACTGCTTCATTTCCTGAATTAATCACTTGACTGGTTCGCGGTCCATTGCGCGATTCAATGCACTGCCTCGTCTCGATTCTGACAGGTGACAGGTTGAAACAGTTTCAAATTTGAGTGCTTCAACACTTTATGACCACTCTAAACAATGCACAATGTGTGGGTTGTTGTCGTAGTTTGCGTTGTTGCTGTTGAGTTGTTGTTGGTATTGCATTTTATATCATTATAGAGCAAGCCAGGAAGAATGATAGGTCGTTCTGGCTCGGGAAACACTTCGAAATGTGGAGAAGTTGTGAACAAAAAGACAATTATCAGTAATATAAAAACAGTTAAATATTTCAAGGAATAGATAGCCAGCCCAGTGGGTACAGCCGGCGGCCCGAATGCGGCGATGTCCTCCGCGCAGCTGGTTCAAAGCCCGGAATGGATGTATTTTAATCATTGCTTTTCAACTTTAATAACTGATAAAAGGCCCTCTCCTCCCTGTCCAAGTGGTTCGATGCTTCATTCAAAGCTTCATTTTGCCATCACTAGGTGGAGGTATGCCCATTATTTTGAGTTTGTCCAAAGAATAGACAGGAATGTGACGGTGAGGTGCAAACTGTGTCCAGGCCAGAAGCTGTTATCCACTGCTGTAAACACCACGTCAAACCTCAACAAACACCTGCAAAGAACACATGCTAAGGTGAAGCTAATGCACACGCTATTTGTTGTTTGTTTATATCACGTAGTCTGTTCTTCTTCTCTGTCTTCCGGTTGTTGCCTGTTTTTGAATGACGAATACACACTACCGCCGCCTGCTGGTAAGGAGAGTTATTGCCACTCACGCATGCGCAGTTCGAACGTGCTCGGCGAGTAAAGTAACGAGTTACTTTATGTAGAGAGTAACGAAGTAGTGTAATATATTACTTTTTTTTTTTTAAAGTAATAGGCCTATGTATTAATTTGTTTTAGTAACGACCCCATCTCTGCTCGTCACCCTCTCCCTCCGGTCCACATTAAAACAAATGATCCCAATACTACGGTGGCCCTGAAGTGCAAGACACCACAGCATTTCAGAAAACACAACAGCATTTCACAAAACACTACAGCATTTCAGAAAACACTACAGCATTTCACAAAACGCCGTAGCATTTCACAAAACACAACAGCATTTCACAAAACGCCGCAGCATTTCACAAAATGCCGCAGCATTTCACAAAACGCCACAGCATTTCACAAAACACCACAGCATTTCACATTGGACGGAAAGGGTATTCCTTAGGGAGAACACTTCTTGTTTGTGATTGGACAGAGCCAGCCATAGAAGCACTGCTGTGATTGGTTGTTTTTGCTGCCAGTCAAGAAATGACGCTGCGTGATTGGCCCAACACATCAGCCGTTAGCTGTTAGCACACACTCAGAGCTCACAGCTCCTCATATCTGTTCAGAAACTGGTTGAATACAGTTGCTGCTTTATTTATGTCTGTATGACGTTGTTGTGAGTGTGGACGGAGCAGCTACAGGTTAGTTTAGCCTGATGGGTCCGATTCCATTCAGAAAACATGCAGAAGATGGACTTCATCTTCAAGTCAAGGTAAGACCACAATTGTAATGAAAATGGGATCTTACGAAGAAAGAACAATCCAATATTTAGATTTCGGGTATACTTTTGTTGAACGGTCTGTTTAAAATGAATCGAAGCATCAGACTAAAAAAGCTTTTGAAAATAACAGAATATTTCGATTAAGGTCAAAATATAATATTTGTAAATCTGACTGAAAGAGTCAGTGCCTCACCAGCCATGAACCTCACCGCACGTCCTGATCACTGTGTATATCACCATTCAAACATCTTTTAAAAGTTGAACAAACCCCACACAGCTCAGTGAAATGTTGACTTTATTTGATAATTTCAGTAAAAACTAACGTTCATATTTCTCTTTTTGATTATAATACTGATGAACGTTCAAAACAAAGCACTTTGGCAACTTACCACATACGTTTTAAAAAGCTTAATAAGCACCGTAACTTTCATCATAATTTCACCGTCATAATTGTTTGTTTCTGTGAACGGCCGACTGTTGTGTGACGCAAATGCTGCGGCTGCAAGGCAGCTTTTTCTCCTCTCCTTTCGGTTAGGGAGGTCCAGTGGTTCCTAAGCTAAAGGAGGTTATAAAGGAAGTTTGAAACCTCCTTTCCTATCATTCTAGAGAATTCGAACGGCACTTATCATGGCTGCCACTGAGGGACTTCCGGGTCATTCACTCCGCTAGGAAGGTTCCTAAGCTAAATGGACTATTCGACTTCAGCCCTAGCCTCGGAAAACAAAGAATTGTGGAACAGGCTAACAGGTGTGCAGGCCCATATGCCCATCATATTTGAGGCCCCGCCATAAATGGAGCGCGATTTCCGTCAAACATTTGGAAATTGCTCCGTGCGCAAAGCATTGTGGGGATTTTTTAAGACCGGAATCTACACATGTGCAGCCTCGAAATTTCCCGCAACGAAGTACGCCGGGCTCTGTAGAATTCCAAGTATGCTGGACATTGGAACAGTCCTTCGGCGGCACTCGATGAGGTAGTATCCTTGAAATAGTGGCTCTGGAGCAGAGCACACTCCAGAGCAGCTTTCCTCGACATTGAGAAACACCCAGTGTGTGTGTGAGGAGCCGTTACGTCACTATGACCAGGAAGAAAAAAATGGAAAAAGAGAAATCTCCAACGAGGCGTTCTGGGGCAGCACAGACAGGTCTTTTCTGTGTTAGAGTTTTACTCGCTACAGGGTGTACTTTGAGGGTTTATGACTCTGCAGACCGTTTACATGCAGAAAAAATTTCATAAAACACAAGGGGACGGGTAATAACCGGAAAAGCATGACATGGGATCTTTAAGGATGGCTTCTCACATCGTCACCAGCCGAAGCCTCAAAATAGCAATGACATCCGTTCGAATAACTTGCAGCAAAGCCTTTGTTTATGTTATATTTATTTCTAATATTTTAAACATTGAACATGTTTTTCCATATTGTAAGATTCCATATTATACATAAGTCAACAGTATCTAAAATGCCTGCTCCAGCCTCCTATTAGCTTAAGATGACATCATAAAACGTGTTATAGTCTGACAAACAGTCTAACCCAAACATTAAATTCATTGTAACTGTAAGATGAGGATAGTCAGCTAATTTGTTTGGCCACCTGGTGTCAAATATTTTTGAATTGTTTGCTTTAATACAGTTCAGTGGTTGTCAAAACTGTTGCATATCATACATCTAATTGTCGCAGTTGCATTGTTGGTCTGTGAAAATACTAGGAACAACGATGGAAATAAGTCTTTGAGACTTTATCGCCCTATGGGTATACAAAGATAATTAATATATATTTAAAAGTTGCAAAAAAAACAAGCCAATACTAAAACTTTTCCTCAAACTATTCAGACTTAAAGGGCATTCTGTTGTCGATCACAATACCAGTTTCTGCAGCATGTTAGAGACATACAAAAGCTATAAAATGTGTGTTCTTACCTTGTTGTTGACTAAGGAAGATCAGATGTCAAACTGTCCCGCCATGCTTACAACCTCTAAACCTCCTCTCTATTTTATTCTCCTTCTCCTCAGGTAATCATGCACAGGTGCAGCATCTCTCTCTCTCTCTCTGTGTGTGTGTCACCTCTGTACTTCCCACTCCAGCACACACCCTCCTCAAACACACACACACCTAAAACCTGCCCCAGCTAAGTGCATGAGTGAGTAAATGTTGCAACCATGTGATTTAGAGGAGCCTTTCGTCTGGCCAACCCAGTCCATATCAAGATCACTGACATCAGGGGTAATGTGAACTTGAGAGGGGAGCAGCTTTCCAAACTGCAGATAAATTCCCTTTATCAGTCTCGCTCTAAAACCCAGTCTTGTGTTAATGTGGAATTTGGACGCAGAATAGAGTTTATATTTGAGTCTCTTATCCCTATTACATAACTGAAGTAAATGGAGAGTTGCATACTCTGGAAGTTAATGTGAATGAGGTGAGGGGGGGGGCCCTTTATGTTTTGCATGGATTGCATAGAATCTCAGTGAATACACATTTACTTTGCAAGTTTGGTCCACATTCAAATGATCTGAAAGTAGGTCACATGGCACGCTGCACAGCATTTTCCTTCTTGAAATGACCAAAAATGTAATGTTATTCCTCTGGTGTTTCCTAACAGAAAATGTGTGAGTTTAACTAAAATATTTTTCGGATTATGATACTTTTAGAGTAGAATAATGTGAACTACTATAAACTTAATAAAGCCTATTAAAACTTGATATGACCTCCATTCTTGTTGAACATGTTGGGTTCAGGGAAAAATCATGATGGTACAGTTGACCAACAGAGAGGGTGGGACACAGTCATATTAAAAATACCTATTTCCTCTGTCTTAAGTTTTCGTTTGTTTTGGCCTTGCTCACTCTTCACTGAAATGTCCAATGTTGATCGAGAAAGCATTTTGAAGGATATTTGAAACAAATCCATAAAATAATCAAGATACACACATCCATCCATTAACATCCACAATCAATAACATACATAATCAGTGTTCTATTTTGTATTTAATTTAGAAAACATAATTTACAATGTGTGACACAAGGACAAAACAGAGATCATGGTAAAATAAACATTCCATAATATACATAACTTCATGCTTACTAGGCTGATATACGTAACTGCTTGCTTGTTCGTTTGTTTATATTTTTATCAGCAAAATACAGTATCTTGCTTTGCCTTAAATTATAATCTCAGTTATAGGTCGACACCGCCCTCTAGTGGTGAATTGTAGATTTGCCACTAAGGATCTGAACCGTCCACCAATCAGCTGCAGGTATCAGCACAGTGTCGTATCATTGGCCAGTCCTTATAGCAGATTTAACATCACCTCCTTCTATTGGTTCTCCTTCCTCGTAACGTGTCATAAACAGTGAAGTCCGGATGATGACAATAATTGTGAATTAAAACCTGATAAATAAACATATAATGAAGCCGTAACATATTGTAAGTACTTTGATTTTGAGGACGTAAAGAAAACATGGAGGTAAGATGAAGTGTTCTTGATTTGGATTGTTTATTAAATCTTACTAGCTAACGTTAGCTTACTAGCTGTCAACCAGTCAAAGTCCAGCAAGTAAAACATAAATATTTCCAGAAGATATGCAATATAGAAAGTTTGCCATTCGGTTCTGTGTAGGGTATTTAACATCGAATATTGCACCCTAATGCGATGTATTTCTCCAGAACTAAGGTACAGCAAAAGCAAAAAAAAAGGGACTAATACAATGTATTATTAATGTTTCCTCTGTCTTTCTGACTTCAACAGAATATTCAAAGCCTTCCAATTGACATACAGACCAGCAAGCTTTTGGGTAAGGCGCGAAAAATAAAACGAGTTGCTGTTTATCCATATGTTACTTTACTTATGTGCAGTGGTGGAAGACGTGTTCAGAACATTGAGTAAAAGTACTAATAATGTGAAAACACTCCACGACTAGTGACTTCCTGCATTCAATACTTCTTAAGCCAAACTGTGTAGCAACAAAATATTTCCCTAAATGCTTATGTGTAAACTAAACTCTTTTCATACCTTTCACCAACTGATGCCTGCAATCTGAATCAGATGATGCCAGATGCACGGTTATTACTGATGTTGAATCATGTGTCCACAGACTGGCTGCTGGACCGTCGTCACTGCAATCTGAAATGGCAGACTGCAGTGAAAGAAATCAGAGAGAAGATCAATGCTGCCATTCAGGACATGCCAGAGAACGAGGAGATCAAGCAGCTCCTCTCCGGCTCCTGTAGGTCCATTATAACCCCAGATTGTGCCTGTTGTCTATTAACATATTTTACATTGAAGTTACAGAGATGAGCATCCATTTTTAGAGTTGGAACATCAACATATTTTTTTAAATACTTTTTGTCATGCAACAGATGAAGTATATGTTGCAGCTTTAGTCCTCGGCTGTTTTGATAAATGTTTTGTTGTGCAGTAAAGGGAACTTGTGTTCAGTCCTCCTTCCTGTTCCTACTCTGTATGAAGGCTTCTAAATGTGCACTCTGTTTCTTTTGTTTGTTTTTATTGACAGACATTCACTACTTTCACTGCTTGAGGATAGTGGAGCTGCTGAAGGGAACTGAGGTCTCCTCTAAGAACATCTTTGGCAGATATTCATCTCAGAGGATGAAGGTGAGCAGATTCGAACGAGCTGCTATTGTCCGTTGGAGTTTCCAATTAGTACCGCATACAAAGAGGGGCTTTCTTCGTGTTGTGTTCCTCTGCTCTAAAACCACTAAAGAATCCTAACATTCACATTTGAATTGTGTTTGTTTTGACAGGACTGGCAAGAGATTGTGTCCCTTTATGAGGCAGATAATATCTATTTGGGTAAGTGTATTATCTTTATGTATTTTTCATTGTATAATATCTGTATGCACTTTTAGACTCCTCTGTATATTATAAGGTAGGCAGGCTATTTTAGCAATCAAAAAATATTTAAATAATTTAAGTTCTTTGTTGCTGCCGATCAAATTATGCTACACTATTATAGGATACATTGCCAAAATTACATAAGGCTATTAAAAAAATATTGTTGCATGTATAACGTTTTTTATTTATTTTATTTCAAAGATGGACATAACAAGAAAAAGTAACTAAAAAAAACAATAGGCGTAAGGTAGAAAATGAATTGCAGTGTTAATTTATTTTATGCATGAACACATGCATGCACATGGTCTTGCATCAGTACATGATTTACTCTAAAAATAAATCTACTTTTACAAAAAAGAAATGTTCCCTTACTCCTGATGGATTCTCTATTTTAAACCCACACAACTGGGTGAACATTTGAAAGGCCCGGAGAGATTATTATGGATCTAATAAAGTCTTTTAAGGGATGATGCTGGGATTATTTGAGTCCAGGAATAACCTTATCGTACCCTCTGATCCCATTAAAAGTTGTTTAAATTAACCAATGTGATCCCAGCGGAGGTGGCCAGCTTGCTGAGTCGCAACGTGAGCTATGAAGGGCCGGCTCTGAGGAAGCAGCTGGCCAAAGCTCAGCAGCTGCAGCAGGAGCTGAGCCGGCGGGAGGTGGACTGCCAGAGCTCGGCCGCAGACCTGAGGGAGCGCTACTACACCGCCTGCAAACAGTACGGCATCACGGTAAGTAGAAGAACATTAGAACTCACTGTAGACATGCTTCATCCTGATGACTGTTTCTCCTCTGGCAGGGAGAACATGTGGCCCGGGAGCTGCAGGCGCTGGTCAAAGACCTGCCAGCGGCTCTGGATCAGGTTGGGAGGGATGCAGCGAAGTTTGAGGAGCACATCAAACTTTATACAGCCTTCACAAACTTTGTATGCGAGTGGTGAGTATAGAACAAAACACAGTCCTACATACCTTACATTTTTTCCAGAATAACTGTTTTTATTCACATACACACATCCCTAGTAGCAGCAGATAAAACATTTGCAGCTCCTAAAATAAAATAAATGTTTTGTCTGTTGTTTATAATTAAAGAAAACAGGAACAGCTTTTTGTTTGTCATCTGTAGGTCTGAACCAGTCCTGCCCATGCTGACATTCGCCCAGCAGAAAGGGAACACAACGTTTTATGAGTGGAGAACGGGGAACGTCCCCACGGTTATTGAGAGGCCAGTTGTGGAGGAAGCACCTTCTGAAACAGTCACAGACGATATGGTGGGTCCTAATGTCTCTATACTGAGTATTAATAAGGGGATACATGCAGTTGAGGCCACAATGATTAGCCCCCCAGGAGTTATGGAACATTTTCCTAAAATTCTTCCCAATGTTTCCAGCATTGATAAAACTTGATATAATCAAACCAGTGCTATATAGTAGCTTTTGGTACATAAATACATTTTCAGGCTTGCTTTATATCAAATATAGTGAAAAATGGGTTGGTCAACAATATTGGCCCCCCATGTGAATTTTTGCTTTTCAAAAAACACACCAAATCAACCAATCAGCTTTCAAACCACACCTAATCAACCAATCAGCTTTCAAACCACACCTAATCAACCAATCAGCTTTCAAGCCACACCTGAGCATTCAATCAGCATAAAAAGGACTCCAAGAAACAGGCACTTGAATACCTTATTGAGAGGGACTATACTACTACTACTACTCACCATGCCAATGACAAAGGAAATCAGTCTTGAGCTCAGAAAGAAGATAGTGGAGGCTCATGATAAGGGGGAAGGCTATACTGCTATTTCCAAGCGCTTCACAGTGTCTAGAACTGCTGTACGTTGCATCATTGCGAAGTACAAGGAGACTAATTCTGTAAGAAACAAACCTAGGCGTGGTCGAAAGCGCAAGATTTCAAGAACTCTGGAGAGGAAAATAGTCAGAGGTGTCAGCAAGAATCCCCGGACATCTGCCAAGATGATTGTTGCTTACCTGGCCTCTTCTGGAGTTGATGTTTCAAGGAACACAGTGGTGAGGGCTCTTCATCGTGGTGGGCTTCAGGGCCATCGTCCCAGAAGAACCCCTTTACTCAAAGAGCAGCACATCAGAGCCAGACTGAGGTTTGCCCGTGAACATTTGAAAGGTAAAGATGAGTTTTGGAAGTCTGCTTTGGTCTGATGAGACTAAACTGGAACTGTTGGGCACATGGATGTTGCTCATGTTTGGCGAAGAAAGGGAGAGGCCTTCAACCCTAAGAACACATCATGCTGTGGGGCTGTTTTGCAGCCTCAGGCACAGGGAGCTTTGTTCGGGTGCAAGGCATCATGAAAAATTAATATGAAAAAATCTGCTCTTAGTCTTCGCTTAGGTCGTCGCTGGGTCTTCCAACAAGACAATAGAGGCTTCTCAATACTCAAATTTTCCCTCCTCGACTCCTCGGTCCTCCGGTAGTGACCCGGAAATGAATTTCAGCGCGCCATTTTGAAGGACATCTCATTTCTCTAAATGCACACCAAGGACCGAGCATCGAGGAGGCTCTCTGGAGGAGCTCTAACCGAGGAGACACTGATGGTTCCTCCGCGGATGCATTTCCGGGAACGGTGGAGGCGTGACGCACGGCCGGACTTATCTCAGCCAATGACAGCTCTGCATGCATCCCCTGGATATTATTTTAGAAACTGCTTTCATCGCGTCGCGATGTTTCCAGAGAGAACCGCTGTGAGGTCCGTGCAGAAAGCAAAGCAGTGTGTATAATATATATCACTCAGTATAACAGGCCTACTCTCTTTATTTGCTTTAGTTTAGTAGATATCTACAAACAAAGAGTCGATATTTTTCTAAGACCATTTAGTGCTTCACATAATAAAATACACAACGCCTGATATGCTTTAGGAGCTGTAGGTGTGTGTGGTACAGTGTGTAGGTGTGTGTGTGTGGTACAGTGTGTAGGTGTGTGTGTGGTACAGTGCGTAGATGCGGCGGACAGACAGGTCTCAGTTGGTTTGGTGGCCTCTGCTTACTTTTAATACTTGTAAATACAACTTTTGGCCCGTAATTTCAATTCCCCATTTCAGCGACCAGAGAGGGGGGGGGGGGGGGATATATCCAGTCTCTGATTGTGTTACGTTATTATGAGAGTGCTCTCATACTTTAAAAATTGTATATATTTATATAAATATATGTGTGTGTATATGTCCGCATCTGTAGCCTGTTATTGTCTCATTATACCGCACTGTGAATGAATCAAAGTAAATATATAAGTCGTCATGAACACATCTGTCCATCAGACAGAGGGCTGTGCCTCCTGTCATCATTAATGGACGTTTCTTTAAAATGACCGCTCAGAGGAGAGGAGTTCTCATTTCTCTGACCGCCTGCTGCTTCCCCTCCTCTCTCCTCGGTTCCCCTCCTCAGTCCTCCGCTCGCCTCTCCTGTGGGCGGGACTAAGTCTCGAGGATAGGAGTCGAGGAGGGGAAATTTAAGAATTGAGAAGCCTCTAATGATCCAAAGCACACATCAAAATTGGTCAAACAGTTCCTAAAGGACACCAAAACCAAGGTGTTGGAGTGGCCCGTACAGAGCCCAGATCTTAATCCTATTGAGAATCTGGCGGGTGCTCAAAGTGAATGTCCATGCTCGGAAACCACCAATTTGGACCAGCTGGAACAATTTGCAATGGAAGAATGGGCCAAAATCCCTCAAGAGACCTGTGCCAACCTAGTAAAGAACTACTCTAAGAGGTTCTTGGCAGTTGTGGCTCAGAAAGGGTACACTATTGACTATTAATGGCCTGGGGGCTAATATTTTTTGACCAACCCATTTTTCACTATATTTGATATAAAGCAAGCCTAAAAACTTATTTTATGTTCCAAAATGTACCAAAAGCTACTAAACAGCACTAGTGAATGTTTGATTATATCAAGTTTTATCAATGCTGGAAACATTGGGAAGAATTTTAGGAACATTTTCCATAACTCCTGGGGGGCTAATAATTGTGGCCTCAACTGTACATAATAGAAACTTCTATTACCACCTAATGAGGGTTGTCAAACTTAATCTCAGAGTCCTTTCTCTTGGGGCAGCTCTCTCCTACTGCAAGATATTCAACAAATAACATCATTTATTAAATAAGTGTACGTTTCTTTTAATTCACCATTCATTTGCCTCACTGCTGACTTAAATGTTTGTGTATGGTGGTCTTTGAAAATCCGCTTCAGATTGACTGGGGTAACTTTGGCAGTGGTGCAGACACTCTGGGTGTTACCACCGCCATCACAGTGGAGGATGGAGCCGACTATGGCATCAGTCTGGAGACCAGCGCTGAGGTAACATATCTGCATTTTAAATATACAGTACTCATTTTATCATACGCATTATGTTACTCAAATGTTAACATGTACATATTAATTTGAATGTAGAACATTTTCTACAGATAGAAAATATTAATGTGGTTTACATTCTGTAATGGTTAGTATTAATCTAGCTAAAACTATGTAATTGATACTATTGGGAAACACATTACATTTACTCTCATTCTAGATAAATAACTAAAAATAAATAAGTATAAAAAAACATGTATATTATACTACAATACATACCAGATTAAATAATAATACTTCATATATAGGATCTGCTATTAAGTGTGTTAAAATGCAGAATTATAGAAGAATACAAGTAAAAAAAGAAAATACCGTATAAATGAAGTTCATTTATCTTAAGTATGGATAGTTTGGTTGAAGGATTGAAGATGTGCATATACAGAAGTCCAGATCCATCTTTAATTGTCTCTTTCTTATCGTTTGTTGATTGATCTGACAGAAAAGGGGGTTACAAATCACATTGAGATTACACATCATAATAATAATAATTCAAAATATATTTCAGCAAAGGCAGTCATCTGAGCATAATTAGGCATAAGAATGTAGAACTAACTTAAACAAGTGCAATTTAAACAGTTCAGCAAACACGGATATCAACTACGTAAGCTGTTAAATTAATAGCATTTACAGCAAAGGAAACTCACAGATCATTTACGCAGGGAAACAGTTGGTGTGAGGCTTCCACATGAGGCTTCTTTGTTCTGGAAAGGATTTGCCACAGGTGAGCTGGCTGCCTTTAGATTACTTAGCTCCGCCCCTCCAGGATGGCAGGTAGAGGAAGATTGGACGGGGATATTCCATACAGTAGTAGTATTAAATGGAAAGACATTTGTTCTAAACTGATCCCAACTCTGACAATTCAACAAATATACACTTAAAAGCCTAATGGTGTTAAAAGCAATTAAAAAGAACACATTTGTAACATTTTGCTTTTGGAACTTCTGCTCTAATATAACAACTTGTACCTGCCTCCCTTTAACAGGACACTGGTGGCATTGACTGGGGTGACAGTGAAGCAGCTCCCATTGAAATTGAAATTGTTGATGCAGGCACAGACTGTAACTACTTTTCCCTTATAAATCAACATTATTGCTCAGCTGTTAACATTTCTGTTTGCTAAAATAATGTTTGTTAACTTGCAGGTCCTGAGGGTGTGGCACGAGGTGAGGATGCTCTGACTATCCTGGAGAACTCTCAGTCACGCAGCGTGTTCATTGATGAGCTCACGGAGGTAAAGACTGCTGCCATCTAGTGTTAAATAACTCTTCAACAACCGTGAATCCCCTGATTTACTTTTAACATCTGCAAATATAAAAAAATCACTTATTTGGAATAATGAGTCTAGCTTTTAGAATCACGATTTTAAAGAAATTGACCCTTCAATAGCGTTTTATTTGTCAGATTTTTATAGATTTTTTATTTCACGGTCAACTTGTATATTTTCTACTTTTTAATGCTGTTCTATTTCTATTTTGAGATGTTTACATTTTTTTATTTTTCATTTCTACTCTTTTAATTTGTACTTCTGTGCAATGCTTTGTTTTTTATGCTGCTGCAACGCAAACATTTACCAATTTGGGATCAATAAAGTACATCTTATCTTATAAATGGCTTAAGACGTAAAACCCATCTATAGAGAACTGGAATGATATAATTTATGACATTTTGGAAAGAATCACCATCTCTAAGAGCCTTGGGGAAATACAATTTGCCCTTTTTTTTTTTTTTTAAATGGTGTATTTCTTAATCGCAAAATCAAAAACACCCCATGTACTACTTTTGAGTTCAATCATTATATTGTATAAAGCTTAAAAGAGGAATCATGCTGTAAAAGTAACAAACTAAAAATAATGATTAAAAAAACATGGCCTTGGGTGATCAAAAATAAAGGAAACAAATTCAAATAATAAACTGAAAGGAAAATAAATTTGGATTAGGTCATCTGACAGATTTAGCCCCAACATGTGATACTGGTTTCATGTGTTTGTACAGCTGGAAGTGTTTTTAACCCAGCGCATAAGTGAGATGGGAGAGGAGGGAGATGTGGTGGCCATGAGCCAGTTCCAGATGGCCCCTTCTGTCATCCAAGCTCAATCCCGTGAACACGTGCGGGGGATGCTGTCAGAGGTGCGGGACCTCCTGGGTCGCCTCACCTCGCTCCGGATGCAGCACCTGTTCATGATCCAGGCCTCGCCACGGTACGCTGAGCCCCATAGCATCTGCTTCAGTCAGCATAAATCAACACCTTCTCATTTTTCTTACATCTGAAATGTGTTGTTTAGGTATGTTGAGCGTGTGTCAGAGGTGCTGAGGCAGAAGCTGAAGCAGGCAGACATCCTGGTCCTGAAAGCTGCCTCAATGGTTGAGAGGAGACAGGAAGCTCTGGAGGAGCAGTCCAGGCTGGAGCCTCGTGTCGACCTGCTGGCAGGACGCACCCGGGAACTCCAGAAAATGGTATTGGATTACACTTTCAGTTTATTTTTATGTTCACACTTCAGTTCACTAGAAAGAGAAAGTGCTGTAGGGTTTTTCTCCCCACCCATATCACTGGATCATTAGATCTATCTTGACATATACTGTAATAATGAGTATTGTCGTCATTAATTCTGATTTGTTTCTTTTACAGATTGAAGCAGACATTTCAAAGCGATACAACAACCGGCCTGTCAACCTAATGGGGGTTAATATATAGTGGACGTTGTGACATTTACTAAAAATCTTTTGTCATGAATTCTCAGAAATAAAAGTGGTATTTAATTGTAATTTATTACGTCTTGTGTGGATTCTTTACAAAGTCTGGATTAACACTGAAAATATTAATGAAGTAATGGATCATTCATTATTTATGAAAAAACATGAAGAAAACTTGTGGATGGAAATCTTTCAAACAAAACAAGTAAATTGACAATTACTTTTCAACATTTCAAATAACTAAGTTTATTATCTGACTTCTGACTACTGTTAAAGGATTATACAAAATGTATCGTATATTACATATACAATATACATATTTATAACGTGTTATTTTGTGCTAAATATCTTAGTGAGACTTTTTCAGTGGTGGAAAATAATTAATCACATTAATTATAGTACAATTTTGTGGTGTTTACATGTATTTACATTTATTGTTATGCTATTTTATACTTTACCACATCTCAGAGCCATATTGTGTACCTTACTCCACTGATTCTTTAAAGCTTAGTTCCTTTGAAGGTTAACATTAATAATATAAAACATAAGTTCGACTATTTTAATAACAAACTATTGGCATCAAAATATACTTACAGTACTGGATTACTTTATGCATAATAGCCAATTTCTGGATAATACATCATACTAATGGACTATACATATTGATGCATTCATTTGAACATCACTTAAAGTTAAAGCTGGTAAGGGTGGAGCTATTGTTGAAAATATCTAATATCTAAATACTTCTCCGTTCTTACAGAATCATAACAAATATCTATCGTGTGATATATTTTTCTAAATATACTTTGGAAGAAAAACACATTTTTAATAAGCTCGTCTTTGCCACGTAATATATTTTAAAATGTGATAATGGTGATGCAAATGTGTGTAATATTAGTGGGCTGATGAAAGCTTTCTACTAGAATGTTCTGCGCATGCTCTGTTTGAAAGCGTGTTTTGGTGTCAAGCGGCGCTCAATGCTAGGCTAGCCGGGCCAGCTAGCATTTCTGCAAGTCATGGTGGGCCATTCAATGAGCAAAGGCTGGAGATCGGGCAACACTGTGGAGCTTTTAATAAAACAGCGATCAAATTCTGCTCTTAGGTGGTAGTGGACTTTTGGGCATGAAGACACAGTTACCCAATCTTCGTGCGTGAGTATTAAATCAATCAACTAATAATGCTTAAACCGAGACATTGATTGCACTGATTCATGAGCATGATGTGACGTTAGCAGACACATGGATGAATAGGTAGTATTTATGTGAATAACTTGATACTGTGGCGTGTGTTGTTTAATACATAAGTTACTTTTGAAAGTACTCAAATGGTAGTTAGCAGCCAACTAGCTTTCAAGGCTAGCACAGTGTAGTTCCAATAGTAGTTCAGCTGTTTCTTTAAGCCCCACCCGTGTGCCATTCCTATTGGCCGGGATGTTCTGGACTCATGTGTCGTCACCGCACTTTTGGCCCGAGAAAGGCTGTGCAATCTGTCAATCATCTTTTCACCACTTGTTGCTAGGGAGATTGTTTGATGCTAGCAAAGAGACCAGTAGAGGTACCTGTCACTTTTTCAAGGTAAACAAAGATGCGAGCTTACTAGATGTGGCGAAACGAAATATTATTTCCACTTCATGATATGTAATAAGATGGTTATACATGTGTAATAGCAGTAGTCGGGTGTCAAAACACAGGATAGCTAACAGCTAACGTCATAAGGACGAAGATAGGAGAAGAGGGAGGGACCCTGCCTGCTACCGAACGCTGTCGTTGGTGCTAGCCAGCCTAGAAAGCCTCCTCGACTCTCCCATTCACCTTCAGCAGCACCACGAGAAGTGTGCAAGGGTGGGGTGATGCTGCCTTAAACTCTGTGTTCACCATCTCTGATCCTCTGAATTTAAAGAAAAAGGAAAGGCCATTGCGCGGTGCGAGTCTTGGGAGGATGGAGTGGTTGCTGTGGGCTAGCAAGCCCTGATTTGTTGTAATGTATTTGTCATTAACATGTGCTTAATACAAATGTAGGAAGGTAAGATTTGTCTGTCATACAGCTGAAAGCAGTGTGTTTATAATGTTGTACTATGTAGTTTCTATTGAGAGAATAAAATGTTATTTCTCACTTTTGTCAGGAATGGGAACCCTATGAAGAACAAAGCTTTGAGCACCAACTGGACTCTGACAGTGGAAACTCCTCCTGGATCTTACATGCCTTTTTAAACATACTGAATCCTGTTGAAGACACCCCTTTCCCCCCCCTAACTATATTTAACCACTTTTTTTTTACGTTCATGTATCTCTCTCTGTCTTCTAGCACAAGTACAGAAGTAGTAATCCACGCTCCCCGTTTTTGTTTTTGTTTTTTACTTTCACCTTTTTGTTCCTTTGTAAAGAAATGCTTTACCTGAAAAAATACTTCACAGAGGGCCTGATTCAGTTCACCATCCTCCTGAGTCTCCTTGGGGTGCGGGTGGACGTTGACAGCTATCTAAGCAATCAGCTGCCCCCTCTGAGAGAGATCATCCTGGGCCCTAGCTCAGCCTACACTCAGACACAGTTCCACAACCTGCGCAACACGCTGGACGGCTATGGCATCCATCCAAAGAGTGTGGACCTCGACCAATTCTTTACCACTCGGCGGCTGCTGAACCAGGTGCGCCAGCTGGACCGCCTCTCCGTCCCCAGTACCGAGCTCAACACCTGGCTTGTGCATCGTGACTCTGAGACTGTGGTGTCCACCAGCAGCCAGCCCAGCCCCAGCATCACCCTGGACAATGGGGGCGGCCTAGAGGACGTTAACAACCCTGACGCTACCCCGGCCATGAGGGGAGGAAGTGTAGGAACTGAATCCACGTACAACCTGAACGCAGAGGACAGCAGCCTGGGAGCCGTGGCCCCTGAGAGCAACCAGGAGCAACCGGGCAGCAGGGATGGCAATGATGACCTCAGCAAAGAGGTACTGCAGTTTGTCAATTTCTCCACTCTGAAAACACCTGTCAAAAGGTGGAGGTGGGGTCAAACTGTTTGACAGTTGCTTGTTGTCATCACATTTACCTGCTGTGTCGCTACTTAATACTATAATAGACTTTTTGTTAAAATACTCACCTTATCAAGATTACAATGTGCTTTACAAAATACAAGAGAATGTAAAAAAAGATAATTGACCATACGAAATACATAGTGAAAATGATGAGAACTAAAGAAATAGTGAATTGGAAAGCTCAACAATAAAAAGAAGAAAAAGTGTTTTAAAAAGGATAAATAAGGTGCTGGAATCACCTTACATCTGTAATTCATTGGACAAGCAGATTGTATGTTAAATAACTAACCCTAACCCTAATGAAATGTAGCTTGGAGGTTCATATTTTCACTGGCCTTCCTAACCTAATATTCCAAGTAGCATCAGAATCCACAGATGTTAGCAGGAATAGATAGAAAATAATGTATTCCTATCAATTCTGGTCACTTCAAATATAACTACTATACAGGTAGTATCAGATTCATAAATATTACGGGGTATGGCAGCATTAAACACATAAGTATACTGTATTCCAACATAATAAAACATACACTCACTTAAAATGTCTTTACTGACATTAAACACTGTCCACAGCCTTGGTCTTTAATCAGTGTCAGATATTTGTAGGCCAACCAGTTGAGTCATATTCATTACAGCTGGGATTCTTGTCATAGTTACTGTTGAGTACAAACTGAAGCAAACCGTTGTAACTTAAATAACTTAATTGTTGTTTCTTAAACTTAATTGTCCTAAAGGAGCACATAAGAGAAAAAAAAGAAATGTTTTTTCAAGACAACACGTTACATTTTTGTTTAAGAACTTAGAGAAAACTTGTACATGAAGGCAATATTAATGGAGCGGCGTTAGAGTCACACAAAGTCATTGTTTGACTGTAAGAAAACTAAAAGACTTCTTTCTGATCACATGAACACCACCATGTCAAAGTGATTCTGTCATGGTTGCATCATCTGACTTCATTTCTGTTGCATGATCCGCCAAAATTACCCACTGTTATGAAATAATGAGCCCAAAAATAGACGGTATAAGTTTATTATCATAAATGGCCCAGCTATGTTGATTTTTAACCTGGCTACAGTATAAGTTAAATACATTGAATGCCTACACATTACCTGGTTATTAAAGTGACTCTTCTCTGCACAGGGCCATTTCTCAATGGTTGCTATCTGTTTTTCCAGGACATTGACTTGATTGACATTCTATGGAGACAGGACATCGACCTCGGTGCGGGAAGAGAAGTGTTCAACTACAGCAACCGTCAGAAGGAGAGCGAGGAGGAGGAGAAGCCCAGCCCACGAGAGAACAAAGACGGGAATGAGGAACAAGAGCGCTGGAGAAATGGAGTTAACTTACAAGGTGCCCAGCCGGTGGACGGGGAGACCGGAGAGAGTATCCCAGAGCAGGTCAGTAGACTAAATGGATCTCTGATATCCTTGTCTTTCATCCAGGGGGAGGTGGTACATTTAACTGGCTCTTAGTACATACAAAAGAAAATAGAAACTAGGGAGCTGCTTCATATGAGTTTGTCTTCATGTGGAGACAGTTCCAGTCTCTCCACCACCGCCTTGTGGTTTGAGAAATTGCTGTTTGAATACTAGAGTATTATCTCATTGTTTTGTCACTCAAGTTAATGAGTCAAGACTCATTCAGTGGAAAGAGAGCTCAAAGCAATCAAGCTGTTGCTTTTATGAAGTTAGAATTCTATAGAATCGCATTTATATCAGGGCTTAACTCCCATGGGAATTTTCCATGGGTAATTCCGAATGGTTAGCCCCCGTGACGTTAAATGTAATCCTTGTTAATATATTGATGTACACGTGTGGCTTATCCAGACCTGGAATTGGAGGCATCCATGACGTTTCCATGAACCCAAAACGATATTTGGTGTTATTTTGTTTATATTGTACTAGACAGAATGGTCTAATTTGACCGAAGAAACTACGTAAATGCACCGAATATTTATCAACAGTGCAAGAAACTGATGTGAGATTGTCAGCCCAATAACCAGCAATTGCAAATGACACAGGGGTGTGTCTGTGCTGTTAAAAGATCCTCAGGATATAAAATGAAGAAAAAAAAGCGAAATGAAATGCCAACAATCGCCCCTAGAAAAAGGAATAAGCAGCCGATAGCAGATATACTTGTGATTCACCATCTATTGCTATATGCTATTATGAAAATGTGTCTTAGCCTTGACTCAAGACACATACCAGCAGAAACATCAGCTGGCTTAAGTCAGAATGATGGATGCTTTTCCAAATGAACTCCGTATTCGCACATTTCTACAGTTGGTTTTGTTTGCTGGTCCAAGACACACAGACGCCACGGCACCAACGGCACCAACCATGGAACTCTCTGTAAGTGAAGGATCAGAAACAGAAAGAGTTGCAACAGTGGCGTTGGTATCCCAACAAATATTTTTGACAGTACTGGTATCTCTCTTGTCGTTGTTGTTACCCAGTTCTTGGCTCACAGACTTCACTGTCTCTACAAGAATGCTTGAGGCTGTTGGAGGCCACTTTCCCTTTTGGAGAAGAATCTGAGGTCAAACCAAACAACAGTGTTGTTTCACATGCATTGCAAGTATTGTGTTTTTCATTAGGGTGTAAAAAACTAAAGTTGTTGCATTTTTTTTGTGCAATTTTTCAAATAGTTTCCAGCACCGGTTGTTGTCACGGCAGAAATAGATTCCAATGAGGAAGTTCCTTCTACGTCTCAGGGTCTTCCTCTGGCTCCACTCCGGCCTGCAGGAGAGACACAGCTAGACCTGGAGCAGCAGTGGCAAGACATCATGGCCATCATGGAGCTGCAAGTATGTCCACTTTTTAAAACCACTTCTTAACCCATCACATATATTTGATTGTTCTGACACCATTAACATTTAACTGTCGTATTGTGAAAATTCTGACTTTTGAGTACAGCCATATAAGGAAGTATGAAAAATTCTCCTAACTCTAAAAATGTAAACTCATTTAAAAATAGGGGAAAAAAAGGTTTTCTCTCAACTATTTAGCGTTTAATGCTTAAATCTTTCTGTTCCAAGGCGATGGAAGTGAACAGCTCTTCACCCAACAGCAGCTCCAGCAGTGACAGCGGCACGACTGACTCCAACACTGTGGTAAACTTTGGGCTTTCCACTCGCTCAACTCCGGTAAACCAGGACGTCAGCCTCCATCAGGCCTCCCTCCCCAGCTGCAGCCAAGACTTCCCCCCCATCTTTTATCCCCAGGTGGACTCCACTACCACCCCCCCAAGAACCACCATGCTCAGACTTTCTTCCAGCAACTCCAGCAGCATCAACTCCACGTTTGGAGCCACCAACCTGACCGGGATCTTCATCCCTCCACACGTTAACAGTTCCAGTACCAACATTACATCCACGCCGATCCTTCCCGATCCATTCAGCAACCTTCTGGAAGAGTCCATGCTGGATGAGATCAGCTTGCTGGACCTTGCTATGGAGGAGGGCTTTAGCCAGGCCCAGGCCTCGCAGTTGGAGGAAGAGCTTGACTCAGATTCTGGTCTCTCCTTGGACTCCAGCCACAGCCCGGCCTCCCCGAGCAGTTCCGAGACATCCTGCTCCTCGGCAGCGTCTTCTTCTTCAACATCCGCCACCTTCTCCGAGGAGGGGGCCGTGGGGTACAGCACCGACTCAGAGGTCGCCACCGCGGAGGAAGGTGCTGTCGGCGGTTATCAGCCCGGGTACAGCAAGCTCTGCCGTATGAGCTATCAGAACCCCTCCCAGTTCCACGGCCTCCCTCAGCTGGAAAACATCAGCCACAATCACACGTACAACCTGCCGCTTTCCTCCGTGTTCGCCGAGGATCCGGAGCTCCCCATCTCATCCGGGAAGAAGGCCATGAAACACTCGAAGCTTCAGCCCCCTCAGGACTTGTACGACAAGCACTCAAGTCGGGACGAACGCCGAGCCCGGTCCATGAAAATTCCCTTCTCCAACGAGAAGATCATCAACCTGCCCGTGGAAGAGTTCAACGAGCTTCTAGCGAAGCACCACCTGAGCGAAGGCCAGCTGGCGCTCATCCGTGACATCCGAAGGCGCGGCAAGAACAAGATGGCGGCTCAGAACTGCCGCAAGCGCAAGCTGGATACCATCATCAACCTGGAGCAGGGCGTCCACGACCTGCGGCGCAACAAGGGCCGCCTGCTGAAGGAGAAGATGGAGTTCATCCGTTCCATCCGGCAGATGAAGCAGAAGATGCAAAGTCTGTACCAGGAGGTGTTCACTCAGCTGCGGGACGAGGAGGGCCGGCCCTACCCCCCCAGCGAGTACTCGCTCCAGTACAGTGCCGACGGCAGCGTGCTGATCATGCCCCGCGGCGTGACAACTGCTGAGCAACACCGTAAGCCCGAGAAAAAACAAAAAGACAAAAAGAAGTGAGGGGGGCGCTAACTGCTGTTTTATTCTATCACTTTGCTAAATCAACAAGAACGATTTCTGCAGATGCAAGAGAGATGCCCTTTTTTCCTTTAAGAAGATTCTGGTGAGTAGAAAAATGGCATTGTTGACTACTCTTCCTGAATTAGTTTCTCCCTTTTCAATTTGTGGCTACATTTTTTTCCTGGAAACAACTTTGAAGCAGAAGTAGCTCTCTCCGTTTGAGTACTGATATTTCATTCTTTAATTGGGGGAAAACAATAAGCGTGGAGAAGAGGGATGTAAAAGGACATAAAATGAGCTATTAGAAAATGTTTAAATGCTCTCGACCCTTTTGCAGCAAACCGCTAAGGAGGGAGACGATTTGTGAGGTAAATATAAGGGACTGTTATTCGAGAGAAGTGGGAGTAAAAGAACACTGTCGACGAGGACGGTTGGAGTACCTATGCACCGGAGGTTTTAAAGGACAGATCATCCCATCCTGGAGACTTTTTGTGATTTCGACAGTGAGGTTTTTAAGTTGCAAATCTTCAGGCGAAGAACAACATTTGAGGTTCTGTGAGTTTACCAAAGGCTAAAGGAAGTCCATCAGTTTTAGAATGCCATTAACACCTATACTAACCAAAGGTTGTATGGTGCACATCACTGGATCTGACTACATTTTAAACACTGCACTCCAATTGTCTGTTTATGTACGGCAAATTCCAGTTTTTGAGTATGTTTGTCGGAGTCCAGATGCCCCCCGAAGTGATTGGGTTTCCTGTGCGGATTGGAAGGAGGATGTTGGGATGAGAAAGAGTGTTCCTGGGCTGGCCACTGCTAAAAAAAAAAAAAGGGCGTGAAAGTGAAGTCCGGCAAGAGGAGCAGATGGATGTTTTAGGGAGGAGGCACACTGCATTGCAAAATGTATCAACTTCCTTATAAATTATACATAGCACTGTAATTTGTCTTTAAAAAGGCTTGGCTTTATGCATTTTGCCGTGTCTATCGCTGTTCCTTAGCTGCAGGTTTAAATACAGGAGCTGCGTTTAGCAGGGCTCTTATTAACTGTTCATAATCTGTAGTATAAGCAAGGTTATAGGTCTCGCCACATCAGCTTTATATAAAAGTCTACACTCGAGGAATTGAAGATACTGTGATGGGCCAGGAGCTCCAGAGAGGGATTTCCACCTCGAGGTTTGCCCTTTTTTTTTTGTCCTCTTTGACGCCTCGTTTTACGCACTAACTGAAAACAGGCTCAGTTGACGCCTGGTGGAGCGGAATCCCTTTTTCATTTAATTTATTTGCCAACCCCACTGAAAGCCACTTTAGGCCATTTTTTAACTGCTGTAAAGCCAAGGTGTTGGCTTAAATATTATGAGTCCTATGTGTTAATAAAACAAAGTGAGCCAAGTTGTTACATGAGAAAAAAATAATATTTGAATGCGTGATATGACTGTTTGTTGTGGCCACTTTGCTTTGAATGCCTTTATTTCACAATCTCATTATCTGTCACTTTAAATGTTTTGAGAACCGGAGGAGAACGTTCTCAAAGTAGAAGTGCTATTACTCGTCTATTTGAATGAAGTTTTGTCAGTACATGTAACATCGCCCTCTTTTTAAAAAGAAAAAATAGGTTATTAGTGCCAGCTCAGATAGCAGTTAGGCTAAAATATTTATAAGAGGCAGAACAGAACTCGCAACTTTAAGATGATGTCCAAAAAATGTTTTTTGAAAGGAGAAATGTCCTCATTAAATGTGATATTCAGGCATGCAACTGGTTAACATTTACTTCAGTGTAACCCAGTGCGACACCGACTATTTAGTTCTGCTACTACTTAGTGCACTTTTTTTGTCTGTCTTGTTGTGTAAATATTTTCATGTTTGTTTTTGTCATGATTTTATGTAGTTTGTCAAGCGTCTCCATAACGGTCTCACACTCTGCTTTCAGTTTGGATGTAGTTCCCTCTGTTTTGAGATATTTGCCGGCAATCAAGAATTGTTTTTATCGATTAATAAAGTGTTTTTATTTTCACCTGTGACTCTTGTGTTCTAGTTGTCATGAATAATATGTTGTATGCTGTAGAACAGAGGATAAAAGAGATTTTAAGACATTAGCGTTGGCTCTCTGCATTTAATATAAGACACGGTAATAATCCTGTTTTTAGCGACACCACCAAAGTAACAAAAAGTGGTTTATTTTCCAAAACCGACAAGCAAGACTTAACATGATAAACACTTTAAAGATTACAAATGAATCACTGAAAAGAGTTTGTAACCGTACACCAAACAAGTCCTTATAAAACAGCCAGGATTGACTCAAAATGAACCAGTTAAAATATTTAAAAAGGCACACGAATGAAATCAAAACATCACCTCACTGACACAATGGCATAGCAAGATGACCGAGCACTGGACCCTATGTTTTTTTTTCAAGAAAACAAAAGTGAATATTCTCTGCCAATACTGAAAAATAACATTGCGTTTTACATTTCACTTTGGATTTGTCAAGCAAACCTAAAGCTTATATTTACAGATCGTTCATATCTGAATAAAAGTAGAATCCAATGAGTGATACTACATCAAGACGCATTCAATGGAGTCTTGCTTGTTTTTGCCCCCCTCCATTTGAACCCCCACAAATCCCTTCTCAAAAGTACAATAACATTCCAAACTACAATTTCTCTTTTTCCCCCTCACCCCTGGCCCTGTGTTAGATTTTCTCCTCTTTTTTCTCGTCTTCGGTGGGATACGAGTGCCATGTAAGTCTCTCCTCATAGAAAGCGATGACCACCTGCGGACACTTCATGTTGGCCTCCTTCGCCGGCACCAGGTCAGCTTCATCTGAGTTTTTCCTGCAAAGATTAACACAAAAACAAGTTTAACTGACTGCTTTTTCCATATAACTTTGCATTTGAATGCTTTCACAGTGATAGAAGAATCCGAAAGCTGAGAACATTCTGGACAATTTCAAATTACAAACTGTTACACAAATCATCTTGAATTTTCTGGATTTTTGGGTATGTTCACAATGGAGACATGCGAGAAAACAAAGTTATTTTCAAGGTCACAGGGTGAATTATTGATACATAAATGATCATTTTGGGTGTTAAGTATTCTTTTAATGACACATTTAGTTGACCAAACAAACCAGGCAGTAACTAATGTTCAACAGTTAAGGTGCACACAAACCATTTCATGAGGAACATGAGTTCTCCTGTGGAGTCTGTGGCACCAATAATCCTCTCTGGATCCAACCCTCGAGCAAAGCCCCTGAGCTTCTCTGTCTGAGGATCACACAACAACACACAATTTCAATCAAGCACAAAACTACATCTGAGCTTAAATTCTAACTACCTACAGTATGTTTAAATTCCAATCTGAATTCAAAACAAACTAGGATATAAAAGAAGTCTTGTAAAGGCTGAATCCCCAAGCAGACTCTTTAAAAAAATTCTCCAGAAATACCACATTCAACTTGGATGGTGGATCTTGAGTAAGGCACTCACAGCAGTGAGGTCCACAGCCTGTACAGCAGGTGAGTGACCACTATATCCCTCCCTCTGGAACTCACTCCCACAACCCATCAGAGACTGCACTGACCTCACCACCTTCAAAAGAACGTACAACAACTCACCTCTTCAATCTGGCTTTTAATGTGTGATTGTTGTTGTATTGCTTGATTTTAATTTGACTTTAACTATATTTATTTGTTGTTCTTTTCTTTTCACTATCTCTGTAAAGCGACTTTGAGCAATTGTAAAAGCGCTTACAAAATAAATCTATTATTATTATATGAGGAAGTGGGGGAGGGGGACGTGCTGTTGAGCTGTACACCTGGAGTTCCATATGGCTGGGAAACTATTAGTATGTGATGTGTTTTTCCATGACAAAAAAATCCTCACCTTGATGTGGTTTAACGTCTTCCTAAACAATAATAAACACCTGTCGCCTGCTACTCTTCCTCGAAAAACAAAAATAATGCATATAATGTGGAATGTAAGAGTTTATTTTGTTCTTCCACAAGCAGCAGACTCTGTTCAATCGCATCTTGGGAAAAGAAGATATGGCATAAAGAATAAGGCCTTGTCCACGCGCATACAGGTATTTATTAAACCTAGCTCTTTCTGTGTGTTTTGGCTTTTATTCTAAACGGCAGTCTCGGAAACTGAAAACAGAGCTTTTCTATAACTCCTAGGCTGAACATTTTTACAGAAATTCCGTTTCCAGAGTTGATGTGTAGTAAGGGAGTTTTGGCTTCTAACGTTGGACTGTGCGCCATTATCTCGAATGTGAGGCGTCAAACGACATTTCGTGCAGTATTATTGCACCTTTTAACAGGACCGTTCACATGTTGTCGCTTTATAGAGGAACAGAGGCACCAGAATGCACTTCGGAAGTCCCTTGCCACTAATGTGGCTGAATGCCAGTGAGTGTCTGTGGGTAAATGGCATTGACAATTGTGTTTAGCATTTGAATTTGAACGTAATTTATTTATAAACCTTGTTAACGTGGATGGCATTTTTGCAGAACGGAGGTGGAAAACCGCAATTTACAGAAATACCTGTGTCACTAGGTCTGTCTTTGCTACTTTGAAGTTGGCTTAGTGTGTCAGGGCACCTAATACAAAAGGAACTCTTGCAAATATGCATATAAAGAACAACATTCTAAGAACAAAAACAAAGAATTGGGACTTACATCGTCTTTTTTCTTCTTCGTCTTACTGTCGTCTCCTTCTGCGTCTCCGGCCGCCTTTCTCTTCACGTCCTGTGCTGTTTTCTGGGACTGTAGGAATTCTGCAATCAAATCTGGACAATCCAGATTGTCCGATGGCTCCCAGGTGTTGTCTTCCCTGCAGACATAAATACATAAAAACAAAAAAGAATAACTTACTCCCATGGTATGTAGTAAATGATTTTGAGGACAGTAGGACTGCAACAAGAGTTGTGTCAGTCCAAAACCCAATAATATTCACTATAAAACAATATAAATCCAGACTTTTCCATATTTGAGAGGCTGATGAGAGTATTTTGGACATTTTTTAATTAAAAGAAATTGACTTAAAAGATAAGTAAAATATCAAAATACCATGTGATCTTTTTTATGGCAAACAACTAATTAATAATTCATCTGGTTCTTGCAATTCTAGTAAATGATGTGATAGGTTGTTGACAATAACTCAATCCACTCACTCAGAGAAGCCTTTCCACTTGAGAAGATAATCTACTCTCCCTTTCACCACCCGCCGATTCAGGACCTTTTCCACCACATATTCTTCCTCCTCCTCCTCTTCCTCTGCCACATCCTCTGGCTTCTTGTCCTTCTTTTCAGGGACCGCGGTCATTTTGCTTTCTGACGGATTAGAAACAAAAGCAATAAACAGAGAGTTACAGTCACCCTTTGAAACTGAAAGCTTCTACGTTAATATTCAGAGTTTAAGATGTTCATGTGTAGATGGTAAATAATTCTGGTCTACAAACATTTAAAGTGCCACTTATACAACTCTTGACACACACCTTACCGCACAAGGACAAAGTGATACAAAGACATATATTTTGTAGTAATGATGTATTAAACCTTCTTTAACAGCGGGAACATCATTAGGGGGTTCTGTAGTCAGGCTCATACTCATCAGGTTGACCTGGGGACCAGCAGGTTCCTGGGCAACGTCAAACAGGATCCATGTTAGAGAGAGGAGAGAACAATATTAGAGGTTGGGATTTATTGAAAAGACACAAGGATAACAATGTGAGGCAATGTAGGTTACAGGCAATATGTGGGATTCACTTTGTGGAACCAAAATGCATAGAGTTGTTGACTTGAAAAAGCCTGCCTAATCTTTGCTGTCTAAAGTTAGCGATTATGTTAAGACATGGTGTAAACTCAGTGGATCTCTTAGCAGTGGAGTATTCACATATGCTTAGGCAAGGCAAGGCAAGGCAAGTTTATTTATATAGCACTTTTCAACACAAGGCAATTCAAAGTGCTTTACAAAAAATGAAAGAGATTAAGAAAATGGCATTTAAAATCAGTCATTAAAAAGAAAAGCTAATAAAAGAAACATTAAAAGAAAAAATACATGGTTTTAGTGCTTAGGCACTAAAACCATTCGATTATTAATACTAATGCATCCATGTAAAAGCAGTCTCTTACTTTGCAGTTGGTTGAGGTGGAGCATATTGTAATCTATAACGTATTGATTATTTTCTTTATGGATTAATCTTCTGATATGTTTCACCATTAATTGTTTGATTGTTTAGTAAAAATGTGGCAGATACTGAGGAATGCGGTCACATTTACCTTTTATATGATTTGTATGCACAATTCTTAATTTATAAATAACTTAAATACAGTACTTGATTAGATGGATTTAATTACTTACTTTCTTATTACATGTCACTTGTTAGACGCGTTTATCCAAAGCGACTTACATTCATTCAGTACTGTGGACAATCCCCACAGGAGCAATTTGGGGTGAAGTGTCTTGCCCAGGGACACAACGACATGCTGACTGCAGTGCGACTGGAACTTGCTATCCCCCTGATTCAAAGTTCAGCGCACTACCCCACTGAGCCACAGCCTCCCCTTATCTATGAATAATAAAACGTAACCTTTTGATGAAAATATGTATGAGAAACATTTACAAAATAATGACTTAGTATCTCAAAATTACAACTTAGTGTCGCGAAATAATGAGAATCCTTCTGAAAAGAATTACTTGTCATAGAGAAATAATAACTTAATGGTGCAAAATACCAAAAAACCTTCTCAAAAAATGTACTTGTCTTGAAATAAGTTTATTGTTACACAACTCAATATTTTGACAAAGCTTCTCATTATTTTGAGATTAGTATGACACAAGTCATATATACCTAAGTCATGGCGAAACTAAGTCATTAATTTTGAGTAATATTCTCATTATGACATATTTGTTAACACATTGTTAGGAATGGGCTTCCATTCTGATCACTATTAGCAGGATATTTACTGAGTCGCTCCCTCAATATTCATCCCTTCACTGATGTCTGACCGTTTGCTTCAAGTGCAGCATCAACAACTGTGCACAGGTTTCCACACCTGGCGACGACTGCACAATGTGGAAATGCAGAAATAAAGAAAAAAAACAACAACGTTTTCCCCTCTCTTCATTAGCATTGTCGTTGTGAAAAATACATACAATATAAGGGGGCGTTGTGTGGCTAACGTTAGTTAGCACGCAAACAGAAGAAAACACTGCACGACAAAGCCTCGGAGAGACCCACAGTTTCAGATAGATGGTGTCTCCTCCTCCATATTGCTTTTGTGTTAGCAATTAATGTAACATACGTCTAGTCTGTTGTGTCTGTCGGTTATGTGTATTTTTTTATAAATGCCTAATGTATAAACTAAAAATAGTACGCTATGTTCATCCCCATTGTAAACATGCTCATTAAGGGCTGGCGAACGTTAGTCTCGTGCACAATCAAACGTTACCGAGACAACCCATTTAGAGGGAGGAGGGAAGGTAAAAAAATAAACTCACCGACTCACAATTTAATATTTGTTTAACCTCCAACCGAACCGATATACAAAAAACACGATATTCTTTTCCTCGTATTTTTTTGTGATAATGTCTCTGTTTGCCTTGACTTGATGTTACACGCAGAGCCGCTAGCTTGACTAAAGTGAAATGTATCGTTTCCGCCCCTTCGTCTCTGGTATCAGGGAAGAAACAAAAGTGGATGGAGGACCGAGCAGATTCACAGATTCTAAAGCATATGGATTTACTCACCAACGTAACCAGGGCAGGTGGTGCTGCGTGCAGGTGATATATAGATCTGTGGAGTGTGAGCAAACAGTGGACTGTATGGATGGAACGCCCCTCTCTGCATAGGCTACACACAGTGGAGGAAAAAAAGAGTTGATACATTCAAATAAACAAAGTAGACTTTATATGTTTACCTTTGGAAAGTAGTTAATGATACAACAACCCCTTAAAAATACAATTAATGAATCCTTTGAAACTACGACCATTTTCAAACTTCTTACATTCATTCATAAAGCCAAAGACAATCCAAGAATATTAATAAACATGAACAGCTCTCTCCCAAATCTACATAATGTTGTGATGTCATCAAACACATTTTGGGGATTTGCTTCATACAACATATAGGGGAATGTATATGTACATATTCTGTATCAGAATCATACTCAGAATATATTCATAAAATGACACTTTGACTGAATATCTTATATTATTCTTAATATAATTTTTGATTTACCATAAATGGCCTTTTTTAAATACACTTCGACCTAAAGTCTGAACAGCACATCATTTTAGCAGAGCAAGTGATAATTCTATTCTGCACGTTATTGTTGATGGTTAGATGCTAAAACTGCATTTTGTTCTTTCAGTAGCCTACGTCAAATATGTGCATTGACAATACAGTTTAATTTAATCTCAAATCATATTTAAATTAAATACCCTATAATTGTACCTTATAATGCAAAATAACGACCTAATATCCTAGTGTTCACCTATGACCTGAGCAAAAAAACGCTGAAATCAGTAAGTGTAATTTACTTGCCAGGAAAAGGGTCCTTTAAATAACCTTACGGTGAATTTCAGAAGCTTTCAGCCACATGTGTCACGTTTATCACGTGAGCAAACAGTAAGCAAGTGTAATTAAACATGTAATATTAAACTTATTGATATTTGTTGTCAACATGTATTTGTATTTAATGTTGTCAGTTGAACTATTATTTAAATATTATTGGTGAATACAAAAAATAAAAAATACCTCCGCGCGCACGCCTACCGGAAGCATATACGTCATTGTGACGTCGCAGCAATTGAAGCTTGTGACTTGCGAAATGAAGATAGGAGCTGTTTGGACAAAACAAGCCTCATTATTTGAGGACCTTGTGCTTAAATAAAACAGAAACCTCGACAGGCGGGACTTCATCGACCAAAGCCGGCTGGATACTTCCGCTGCAGCCGACATATAACTCGTGAAAGTAAGTAGGCTAGTTGGGGTTAGCATGTAACGTTAGCTGATGTTTGTTTAGAAGTGTGTGTATTCAGGCCACAACACTTACGTTGTTTTTCAGAAAAGTGTTGGCTGTTATGGAGACAACGTTATACATGCGAATTCATTCTGAGATATCTTATTTTGCATTACTTACTGAATTAATTTTAAACAGATTAGGGCACAATTATCAGAGAACTTTATCTGTTTTCATCTTTATATATACAGTCTATGGTTTTCATAGAGAAATGGCTGATAAAAGTGAGTTGATAGTACTTTGCTTAAGAAACGTGGTGGTGCAAGTTTCTCAGAAATAAACATTACCTGAAATGCATTTAGTTATTGTCAACATCAATTGATACAGCTACTTCATTTGTTTTATTTAGCATTTTTGTTTTCAAATTGAAGATATTACTTTGGATACATTTTTATATTTTCTTACGTTTTGTAATAGCTAATTTTTAGTACAAATACTTGATAATGAGCGTAATTATATTTCAGCCCTTATTGGCATGTCTTATCATTGGTAATGTATTAATTAATGTAGTATTTTTAGAGTATTTTGTAAAACTTTTGTTACCATCTGTTTGCTTTCTGAAGCTAGTAACTACAGAATATCATACAAATTATACTGTATGATTGTGCATGTGAAAAATACACATGATTTAATTTGAAACAACCAATCGATTAAAAGAAATATAAAGGATATACTCTGTAAGGAAGATAGTTGTTTGTTGCCGCCCTAATCGGAATGTGCCAGACCTTACTGGTGATGGGTTAGCCTGAGTTATATTAAAGGAATGTTGCTGTACCAGCTCTACAGTTCTGATAGATAAACTAATAGAGAGCGGAAATACAAAAGTCAGACTTAACAAACTGCTGTATTTCCAGGAAAGGTTTATCTTCATTAAACGCCCTGAAAAAGAGTCAAACCCCAAATGCTAAATGGACATGCCTGCCACAGTGACTCAGTAGATTGTGCTGACCAGCCTCTCTTTTGCAGGATGAGTCATCAGCTCATGACAAGAACACTATAGAAGACGTAACAGTTTGATCTTTATATTTAATTCCCTCATCATTGATTTCCCCTCTCGCTGCAGTGCTGCACTCGGTAGGATGATCAACAATCAAGAAGAAGATGTAAGTAACCTCCCTTCCCTCTTTTTCTGCATGTAATCTTAGAAACTGTCTAATGTTGGTGAAATCTAAAACTCTCCCTTTCCTTAAAAATCCCAATTAACAAATGTCAAAGAACAATTTGTCCATTGATGTGTTTAAAGACTTGACTTCTTTTGAAGAGGTTTTATGGGCCAGGCACACACAGTTTGTTCTGTAGATTTGAATCTTTTGGTTTAACCACGATGCAGAAAAACACACAGACACTACCGTTTATATTTAAACTTGACTCATTTTGTCCTTTTTAGGAGTTTGTTGCAGTGCGGGTCCAAGATCCCCGCGTGCAGAATGAAGGCTCCTGGAATTCATTTGTGGATTACAAAATATTCCTACATGTAAGTATTAGCCCTTAAATTACAATATATCTCGTCAGTCTCTGTGTGAAGACGTCCTGCCTTTCTTTTTATTTAAATACAAATGGAATATTTTAAGCTTTTTGGTTAGATAAAAATGTAGAGGCAATACATATTTTAGGATAACAACCATCAGAATAATCAAAAACAAATGTTATTTTTCGCTTCTAAATGTTTTGCCGGGAATAACCTAGATTTATTTTTATTTGAAAAGTTGAATGACATTTAGTGGACTTTGTTGAAAAGTGCCTCAGTAATAAACTGGCCTCATCTTAAATTAAGACACAATATATTACTTAGAAAGTTTCACACAATAATTACTTGTAGTCTTTTACCATTGTAGAAGTATTTCCAACTAACCTACAAACGTAGTTTCTATTCGGCTATGTCATACTAAACCATGCTAATGAATGCAATTTGCTCTCCCTGAGGTTTCTCCCATGTTCCCCTTAAACTGTGGGTTTTCTCTGGAAGTTTTTCCTTGTACGATGTGAGGGTCTAAGGACAGAGGGTGTCGTTTTTCTCATACTGATATTCTGAACAATCTGTGCTGTTGTATTTGCTGTAAAGTGTCTCTACTGTAGGCTATTTTTATCATATGTACAGCACTTTGGCTCCACCAAAAATCGTTTATAAATAAAACTTGATTTGATAGGAATCAATAGCCTGAAGTACCAAAAAAGTGTGGGACCATATTGAATTTGGGTTTAACCAAACTCCAATCTCTGGAAGCACTGAGTCTGCAGCAGCATGGATTCCTTACATGTTTTTGGACCGGAGTTGATGATGTTGTCAGGGCAGCCGCCTGTGTTGAGTAATGCTGTGTCAGCAGCAAGGCTTCATGCACAGAGGGATGTGCTGTGTGGGTGTTGACTCATGAAATTGGCTAAGATCATGTGACCTCCTTTTGGGTGTCACTATAAACTATTGTTTTGTCAGCAAGGACACAAAACAAGTTTGCACAAAGTTAAAATGAACATCTATACATTTCAAAGCTTTTACTCAACAAGGCCTTGTCTTTTCTTTCCCGCACATTTACTAATTGAGCAGCCATAGCTGCAACCAACAATACGATTCTTTATTGATTATCCTGCATATTATCTTTTGAAAAACAGATAAATTGTTTTGTCAAGAGAAAAATACCTGTTTGAGTTTCCCTAAGACACAGTCGCAACTTCCTGTTTTGCCGTAACCACAGTCTGAAACCCAAAGATATTTTAGTTTACGATCATGTGCGCCAAAGACAAGCATCAAATACTCAGACATTTGAAATACCGGAACAAGTTTGTCGGAACATGTTTGTCATTTCTTTCAAAAATGTCTAAAATAGTTGCAGTTACAGAATACATGAATTGATCAAAAAAGGGAAGGAGGGATGTTTTTGAGGGCCTTTACCCTTTTAATGGAATTTGTTTTAATGACATGAGAACTTAACCAATGCTGCCTGTAATTGATTATGGTCTGTCAGACGGAGCTTGTTATGCAAACATCAGTTGACTGTGTCACACCTACTGGAACAAAACTGACCTATGATAACGTTTTAGTCCTGCTATACCTCAGCAGGCGTTAGGTCTCGAGTTACAACATTAGGTTGAAAAGATTGAATATGAATACATTGAAAGATGAGGCTAGTTCTATGGTATATTTTTCTTATTGTCAATCAATTGCTTGGACCAAAACCCTCCTGGCTCCAACTTTGGCTCTGAATAATAGAGTTTTGTTGACAGTAATATATCTTTTAAATTTGCAGACCAACAGCAAGGCCTTCACAGCCAAGACGTCGTGCGTGCGTCGGCGCTACAGTGAGTTTTCCTGGCTCAAGAAGAAGCTTCAGAAGAACACGGGCTTGGTGTAAGTTGTTGTGAAGAGGGAGAGTCCTTTGGATGTGCTGCAGGATGTGTTCTATAACCAGGAAATGAGTTTGCATTTGTACACTTCTGGTTCTCCTATCCCTTAGTCCAGTGGTTCC